AGTTCTATTTAAGTCTTCCGGTTTATTGTTTGTTAAATCATTTAAATGATAATAGTGTAAGGATTGTCATTTTTAAATATCTCACAAAAATACATTAAAATCTGATTTTTGATCTGTAGGCTTTTATAAAATGCAGCTGCTATAGAATTGTCGGCTATTGTATTTTGAAGGTCCTTATATGCCTTCCAAATTTTGAAACAAAGGGTGCAATTTTTTGTAGTGTCTGCATGTATATTTACATGCACATCAATTAATTGTTGCCCTTTATAACTTCTTGTTGAGAATATAAAAATTGTGCTGAAGAAGGTAAGCTTAATATGGATAATTTATAATATATTACATGAGGACAATTTAAAGTACTTAAGGTATACTAAAGATAATTCCTTTTTCAGTAAGCAGAGGAATATAGATTAAAAAAGTTGCATGATTTCATCACACTTTGCAAAAATTTAAGTCTTTGTTCATCACCAATGGTAGTGTAGATATGTCTTAATTTATATGAGGGGCCTGATGGGTTATTTTCGTTCTTCGTGATTGGCGCATGTTCGCTATCGTGATCCGTTTTTCTACAGATTTATACTCTTTTTATATTTTCGTGATCTGTGATCATGGAAATTTATTTTCTGTGAATCCTGATTGACAAAAAAATCAACTCGTGAATCGTGATGAGACCCCCCCCCCCCCCCCCCCCCCCCCCCCCCCCCATCAGGCCCCTCTTATATGATAAGTCAATTTAAAGTCATTACATCCATCTTTTACTTAGTCATGTAAGTCAAGTTGAATTTCATCAAATTAAAAGTTAATACACATATGTTATTATGATTTTATTATTCTTTTTAAAAGCCAAATTAGGGTTTTAATCCTGATTTTGAGGGCAATTACCATGAAAGTGTGATACAATAATGTAGTATTAGCCATACATGGTGTCCTATGGGCATATTACTAATGTGTATAGTATGATTTCTATTTTGCTTTGAGACTAATAGTATAATATACCAGCATTGTTTACAGGAAAGGTTTGACTTGAATATCAAGGTATTTAGGTACAGTATGACAATTAACTCTCCATTTTGGTTTAAGACAAAACAGAAAGCAAAACACATTATGCCTGCCCTACATTTGACAATGGTTTGGAAAAAACAAATATGTATCCAAAATACAAGCTGATCAATTCACATTTAAGTTTTTATACCCCTGCCGAAGGCAATGGGGGCATTAAGTGTTACCCTTGACTGTTTGTCCTTCTGTCCGTCCTTCCGTCTTTCCGTTGTTCTGTCCGTCCCATTTTCTTTTTTTTGTTTCCACACTCTAACTTAAATTTTCCAGATCGAAATTTCATGAAACTCATACACAATGCTATGAATCACAACACGCAGACAGAGTTTAAATTTTGACAGTATGTCTTTAACCATTCTAGAATTATGCCCCTTTTTAAATTTGGAAATTGCAAAGCTTGAGAGAGAGCATTCTTCTTTTATTTAGGTATCTATTTCTTCAAAACAATATCTGGAATCGGAATAAAATGGTACAAATTGTTTTGACACATGAAGTGTTTTTATCTTAAATAGTATCATAAAGAGGAGTTCAAGTGGCTAAAATTTAAATCTTTCTAAGATTAAGATCATTTTATATTGAATGGCCATTGGAATTCCATACACCCACCATGCGATAGAAAGATAAACAATTTATTTAAATGTACATATTAAAGAATTCATATTCTTATTGTTTTAATGTGAACATCAGATTGTTCTACGATCTATGCCCTGCTTTGCACTGACGATTTTTCAAAGACTGACAAGGTTATTGTTATCTTGAAATGGTGTGCAAATAATTTAGTCATAAGTCTATTTAAACAAGCAACAAAAAGTTATTTATCTGACTGACCGATTAATATTCAATAGGTCCGTTCTTTTGAAAGCTGAAATTGATTCATAATTCACCGATCATTAATTTTAATTCTTTTACTACACCTACATAATTTCAGACAGATTTACTGTATGTGTGACCAATCATATGAATTTTTATTAAACTTAATAAAAGCGTGTGAATTGTGATAAATATCGGTAGTCCATTCATTAACGGACTGTTGTGATCTGACAAATTTAGTAAGTAGTAATTATTATTTTAAAGTGAAATTTTTTTCATTGTAATTGAAATCTAAACGTAAAGGAAAAGTGAATACAGATGTATAATTTTGATTGGAATGTTTTGTAAATAGACCTAAGTAAGCTTATAAAGTTAGATGCCTTTTTTTATGAATTTGATAGTAAAGAAGAGCCATTACGGGATAATTTATTAAAAAGAAATAACTTTCATTTAACTCCCATGTTTTTGGGTCTCAAATTAGTGAAAGTTTGGGGTCCATACCAAATGTTGATCTTTAATTTTAAATTTCAAAATACCTTCCATTCCTGAAAATAATTGTCAACATCTTCCCTTTCATTTTACAAAGATGACCCTTTCTTACGTTCCAAAATTGCTGGACATTATTTAGTTCATAACAATTTGCAGAGAAATGATATTTTATGTACACATGCATACATAGTAATGAATATCTTATCAAATATATATTCAGTCACTTTGACTTGTATTATTTGCATGAATGAATCCAGTTGCTTTTTATTGAAATGAACAAGACAATTGAAATTTTATTCTATTTCATTGATACCAGGTTTTTTTTCTCAATGTATGTGATTAATTAGAAAGAATTAACAAAGTACTTCTAGGGACTCACAAGGCTTTGATTTTTAAATTACTCTGTCCTTCAAGTTAAATGTTCTGAAAGTATTTATCATAATCTTGTAGTTTCTTAGAAAATCTATTTATTCTGTGAATCATTAAAAACTTCTATATCCGTATGTGTAGACAATTTTCTTCCGTGTTGCTAATAATCTTGTATGCAGAAAAAAAATGCAAAGGTAAATATGTTACACACAATTTTTATTGGTTGTACCAATTTTCAAGAATTTCAGTTCAATATTTATCATATTATGTCCCTAATATGTTGATCTGACATACCTGAAAATGTTGAAGTTTTATGTAGGTTGCATTTCATAAGTAGGTACCTAGGAACCATGGCTTGCTAGGCATCAATAAAAGACTGACACATTCTTCAAATTCATTTTTCCCCAAGGATGATTCAGTGCTTAATTCAGAATAATTGATAAAAACAAATTAATTTGATGACAGGAAAATTTGTTGTGTAGTATTATTTTGGACCCATTGTCGGCTTAATTTTGATGTTAAGTATTCTGTAAAATTTTCATATGCAGATTCTTAGGTAAAAGGTTGAGACTCATTTAAACCTGTTAATTTAGGGCGGCCATTGTTATCAGTTATTAAATCTGACATACAATATTACATTGATATTATTTCATTGAATAGATAAAATCTAAATGATTACAGTGACAGTTATAATTTCTTATTGTTGAACACTGAATGTATGTTTCCTAAAGGTAACATAAGGGTTAAATTTCTTGAAATTATCTCCCTTTATCAATTTTAATTAAATCATGAAATGTTGGTGTTGCACCCTTGCATTTACAATAATATGGAAAAAAATTCTATCAGAAAAGAAAATTTAACCATATATTTTTAATGTTCTGAAATATTTAAAACATGTAACATAACTGTAACATTTTCCTTGCAGTTATATACATGATATATGAAGTAACTTTTTACACCTAAGGGCTTAAAGGTATTTATGTAAAGTTTGATTTCTTTTTAACCATACTGTCCCTTGAGGTTACTTTAAGTTGAAATTAATGTAATTATATGGCATTGATTGATTAAATTATAAATGTGAAATTGGTTTAAATTTCAGAAAAACTTTATTTTATTTTTAGTCTTAGTGTAGGTAAAATGGGGAACACTTTTAAAACAATGGTAAGCAAATATGTAAATTTGAATCAAAAGTTGCAATACAAATTTTTTAATAAGATTAGAAAACAAAGTAAGATACAAAAATTTTCCTTGTTTTTTTTTTTTTAAAGTTGTTAAGGCAAGGATGTAAATGTTCATCAAGTGGTTAAGGTATCGTTTTAGTACAAATAAGGATATATATGAGTTCAAATAAATGTATAATGAATGTGGTCTGATATTTCATTTTTGTTTTCAGTTGAACTTTAATTTATTTATTTAATTACTGTATGCTGTATTATATATAGGTCTTTGTCCTATGTGGAAGACGTATGCGCATGCAGTGATTGACATGTAGATGTATGTCCTTTTTTTTTTGTTTGGTCAATTGGCAAATATGGATAGATGTTGCTTTGATAATCATACCAGATCTCCTTGTTTTGTATGATCAAGGTATTGTTACAATCTACTGATCATAGAGGAATGATATCTAAAAGGCTTTACTTAACTTACTTGCAGCTATTTGTGATAGATCTACATCTGTTGTTTTACCTGAACGAGATATATTTGTACTTATTGATGATACAAAGAAGGTGTGAAGTCATCTGTCTTTTGTCACCACTGATCTTAGTATGATCGATGGGTTCATTGATTTTATCCCTTCCTATATAATGACTCAGGGTGAAGATTGCTTGCACATATGGTATTTAGTTTCATTTGTCATGAAGTCCTCTTGAAATAACTTTATGTAAACATTTTGTGGATCATTTGACATTTTTTGTTTAAATTGTGCTTCTAATTTGGGAACTGTGTATTTGATATGATTAGAGTGTTTGTGGGTATTTTTCTGAGTTATATTAATTTTTTCTTTGTGATCAGATAAGAATTAGTCTTTCGTTTGAGAAATAATTGATGATATTGGTGATTTTAATATTGATTTGTTCTGAATAATTACTTTGACTTGGGGAATACATTGCATGTTTGAGAAAAGTTATTTCTTAAGAAAAGGCAAATTAAATTACCATCAAATTGATTTCCTATTGTATTTGGTTATTTCAACTTTTATTATCAGATGTGTATTGTTGATCTTTTTTCAATATGATTGATTAAATAATGGTTCATCAAAAATGAACTACTTTCAGATCAGACGGAAGCCACATGTACGACGACATTTGACCTGGAAGCCACTGGTGAAAGTACGCAGAAGAAAGATGTCACAGACAGATCTTCAGGATTCACGGAAAGGGGATGTTATTCTTCGGAATTTGATACGACAGTTATTGACAGAGGATGAGAGTATACGTTTTAAAATAGCATTACATAATTTCAAAATTTCAAAATCAGTTACAACATTGTGCCATCAGTTAAAACCTATTATAAACTCAACAGAAAAAATTATGCTGCTTTTGGAGTTGAGTACAAGACTTCCGCTATCACTTCAAGAAGATTTTCATAGATTGTGTAGTTTACAGTATCCACATTATGATGCATACTATCATATATATCATTCAGGGAATGCCATGCCAGAATCATCAAAAGTTATTGCCAAAGATTCATCGGGACAGTTCAAAATTGTATCATCTAGTAGTGATACCAAGTTATACATGGCGAATAATAACTTAAAAAATAGTTCAGATCAGAGTTCGTTACAAGGGACTAGTGTAACTAGCGGAATATACAGTGAACATGATGATACTGTGTCATATAAAATGGACGTGAAAGACAATGATTCTGATGTTTTTGTATGGACTCCTCAATATGGACAAATTAATCCCAATTCATCAGCATTTGTGTCAAAAGGTGCCAAAAATGTTGAAAACAAAAGAGTATTTTTAGAACGCCTGAATGGCAGTCTGGGTATTGGAATTCGTGGAGGGAAAGAATATGGGTCTGAAATTTTTGTTAATCATGTTGAAGAAGGAGGGGCTGCAGATAAACAGGTAAATTATGTCTCTCTGTTTTAAACTGGTTTCTTATATAATTTTAGGATGTGTACTCCCAATTAAGTACTAGTGGATATACATTCCAGTTCTGGATACAATGTGTTTACTGAATTTCATTTTCTGATTGATGTTTAGTGCATCTTGTATTTTTCATTTCATTACCACGTACATGACATATATGTATTGTAAGATCAACCATTCAGTTTCTAGGAATTATTGACAGATGCTCTTAGAAGCTGTCTTTCACATTGTCACCAGATTCAACATCTGTTAGTTAATTATGGACTAAAATAAAAGCTTGTCCATTATATTTAGTAGCCATGAGTATGCTGTTGCTATATTGATGAACTTTCAAAATCAGAGTTTTTACTTTAACTGATATTTTAAACCACTGTCACCTGACTGTATATCAAGTTTAACTTTACAGTACCAAAATTTATCCCTCTTATTGTTAACATTATATATTTAAAGGATATAATGAGACAGCAACTCAACAATACAAAAAAAGAAAGACATCTAGATGTATTTGAATAAAAATTATTTTATTGAAGTTGTGTTTTCATATTTTACACTTGAATGTATTTTTGAATCTAGGGTATTAAAGTTGGCGACAGAATCCTAGAGGTGAATGGTACTTCCTTCAATCAGATGACTCATGCAGAGGCAGTTACTCTCATGAGGAATGCATGGAATGTTATTATGATGGTTCAGGCTATTCCTCAGAATGGAGAGATGCAGGAAGCTCTTCATATAAAGGAGTTAGAAATGGTGCTCTTCCCCTCATCAAATGACTTTAAATTAGGATGTGCTACAAATAGGTATGTTATAGTAATAAAAATGATCCAACCTGAGTGTTTAATTACATTCAAAAGAAACATGCATTAGGTTAACATGGATATGTATTGATAAAGTTTGATACATAGACTACAAAATAAAGAACAGCACATGCAGATAATTTGTTTTTCACATTTGGACATCTTGAAATAATTGGCTAAATTTTCTTGACTCAATCTTTCAATTAAGACACTCATGTTATAAAAGTGTGGCATCTGCCTTAACAAACTATTAAATAAATAGCTCCTTATATTTCATTGCTGAGAGTTACAGTCAAATAATTCCTGTTGTATACTGTCATGTCAGTCCCAATAGGTTTTATATATGAACATTTTATTGATATAAATTATATCAGGAATTTTTTTATATCTATGGCCTTGATATATTCTTTTTTTGGGGTTTGGAATTCAAATAAAGATATCTGTAATCGCTATTTTTATTTCACATTTGTCGCGTACCCACATTTATAAACAAACTTCTAGAGTTTCAAATTTAAAAATTTATTCAAATTTAATTTTGGTTTTTGTATGAGCTGCAACATAAGAAAAAAGAATATTTCCTTGTTCATTGAAATATTTTTCAAAGTAGAAATAAAACTAAAGTGTGACTAACATTATCTTAGAGGACTACTTTTGCTGATATCTAATAAAATGGGATGTGAGATATATGTCAATGAGACAGAAAACACAAAAAAGACTTAAGTATTTAAACAGTTTCTCGTCCACTTTTATGGTTGATTTCCATCCTGAAAGACATCACTTATTAAATACAAAATATATTTTTTTAAGCAGAATTAAATGATTGGTTGACATCTGTGAGGTACTCCATACAGGAAATTATATCACAATATAATATATTTGTATACAATGAGCAAAGATTACCAGATTAAAAAAGGAAACAAATACATATGTACCCTAATTATTCTGATTTTTAACATGTTTAAGGCATTTTTAGTTGCCTTGACCTAATAAACAATCCGTTTTTTCAATATTGACTATCAGAATGTAAAATTTATTACCATCATTATATATACTTTAGAAAAGTGGTTTATAAGGTTAAGTCAATTATCAAAATTGTATTGTGTAATTTGATCGTGATGAAATTGCAACTTTTTAATCTCGTTTTACAAGACTTAAGTTTTTTATTCAATGAGAAAACTATTTTTTCCTGTTGTTATGGGGTTGTTTATTCATAGATTTGTATGGTGTAGTTTATAAAATATTCAGTGTGTTGTATCAATTTGCTCCTATAGTCACATGATTGTAGCAGATAAAGTTTTAAAGGGAACTTCTATTTTTTATTATATTTTCATGTCAACTGTTCATGCATATAGTTTTTAAGGGAAATTGTCTATTATTCAGTTGTATATAGATACTTTTTGTGACTAAATTTAAAACATTTTATCATAATTCTGCTATTAAGGTTCAGATAATCCATTTATAACAGTACTCTGTTTGTCAGATGTAGGTCACAAGATAGATATTAAAGTCTAAGGCATACTATAGACAGATAAATAATTTGTATTGAAATCATGTTAATAGCATCTTTTACTAGCTCTGCAAAAGTATAATAAAATTGAGAATGGAAATGGGGAATATGTCAAAGAGACAACAACCCAACCAAAGAGCAGACAACAGCCGAAGGCCACCATTATACTCTTCTTATGTTTTGGATGTGTCATCCTCATGGTGTCCTTTTGGGTTAAGTTTTAAGTTTGAATTTCTGCTTTTATCATAATGTGTGTTTTGGAAGATTCTTTCCTTACGACAATATGTAAATCCCACCCAGAATTTTCTGTTAGATTGGGTGTAGTTCTTACCAAGTCTTTAAATGATAAGAACAAATATTTTATTTTACATGTTATGACGAAGGTTTATTTTCCTACAAATTTGATGAAAATTATTTATTCATCTTTACAAGATTTTTACCATTATAGCAGTCGTCCTGAACATGCATGAAACATTTGCCACTGGACATTAAGCAAATATCAATCAATCAACTGTTATGGCAGTACATCTTTCACTACTTTTCTTATACATGCATATGATCAATGTCAATTCAAATACGCTGCTTATTTATGCTAATTGATGACACTATAGCTATGATAATAGACATCTCAAAGTCTGACATTTTAGACAAATTTGATTTTGTTGGACAAGCTTACAAATCATTTAACAGAAATAATCTCAAATTTATTGGAGTAAAAATATGCTCAAATATTTTGAGTTATTCAAATGGCCTTTTGAACTAGTCATACTTTCAGTCAGAGCAAGTGTCTGTTCCTGTTTACTGAGTCTATAAATTGCACTTTGTAGGCATAATCTTTATATGATTTTGTATAATTGAGGATGTGTATTTATTACAGGAAACAGAAGAGTAAATTTTTGAAAGTAAAAGCAGTTGACAGACACTCGCCGTCAGAACAAGCAGGCTTGTGTGTTGGTGATTTCATTGTAAAGGTACATTACTTTTATTCTGGCTTCCAGTGTTATTTAAAGTTTACTCCACCAAATAAGCAGCCAGTGTATGTAGACTGTACTTGTTTGATAATGTATATATGATACAAACATAGACAATATTATTTTGGTGAGACAAATGATTTTTTCTTTACAAACTGTCCTTTTATGCTGGCATTATATTGATATGCCGGGAGAGAGCTTAATGTTCATGACATATTAGTTACCGCAAACAAATTAAGGAGCACAAATTATATGAGAAACAGGATCAATAAACTTTGAAGGGATACCAATCTATTTTTTTAAGTTAGTTTGTCATACCATTACTTGTGCTCTACTGTTGAATAATTCAGTACAATCTGTTGGGATGTAATTGTATTTTTTTCTGATTCTATTACTATTAACTGAATGAAAATAGTTTAAAACTAAATTTTCTCGCTTTCTACCATGCATTAACAAAAAACAATTGGGGTCTGTATAAAACTCATCAACATGATCAAAGTTCATATAACTTAGTACAATGTACAAATAAATGAAATTCACTCTAGTGGTTTTTTTTTAGCAGGCTTGATAGGGGGCAGCAAACATAATTTCTTTTATACATATCAGATTTCATCTCAAAGTATGACTTCAGTGTTTGCCTAAAGAATAGGATGTATAGTCTATATTTTTCTGTCATTATGAATCATTTTATTGTTGTCTATAAATGTTTTAATTTTTTATGTTTTTAGATAAATTGAATGATAATTTTTATGATCAATTACTAGAGGGTTAAAAGTCCATTAAAATGATTCAGGAATATAGGTGCTCATTTCTGCCTTTTTTTTATAAAAAGCATGAATAACTTTAGGAAAAATGTATGTAATAGACAAAAGAGGATTGGCCAGACATGTTTGTGGACAAATTTGTGGAAATAACCATAAAAATCATGTTAAAATAAATGTCTTTTCTTTCAACATTGCAGGAAGTTAAATTTTTTGATCAACATTTGTATCCTCATTTTGTCTATGTAAATAATTAAGATTTGTGTAATTTACAATTTATAATGATAACTTTGGGGAATAAACACTGAAGAAAATGAAAATTCAAAACAGTCTAGGATAATTCTTCACAGGGGAAAACTACCGGTATATCTTTCCAGATCCTGCAATTATCCAAAAAAAATTAATGTGGTATTTGAATATCAATCAGTAAACAGTTAAATCTATTAATAATATAGAAAACTAATTAATAACTTTTTCCATTCATAGAATACACTTTAGGGACATAATTAGTGAGGTTGACCGATATATGCTGTAAATAAGGTATAAGTGATGTTTTCATTCATTTTATTTTCTATAGAAGACACACTTAACATTTTCAAGATTCCAACTCTTTTGAATATGAAAAATATGAATATAAAATGCTATAGTTGAAATACATACCATAGAACATAATACAGATCTAGAGGTTAGAGGTTAAAGAGTTGTTAAAGTTAAGGAATGTAGATGTACAAATGTAATCAAAATTAATGTTTATTTAAATATTATATTTAAAATATTATATTAATAATAATGTATGTGTGGTTTAAGGGTTAAGTAAGTTTTAAAAATATTACTCAAAATAATTACCATTTTAGATGTTTGTCAAATAACCGTATACTTTAAAGGCAATAAGTGTAACACAAACTTTTAAAGAGCCCATATCCTCAATTATTGTTTGATTTTAGAAGATTTAAATAATTTCTTTTGTTCAACAAGTCATGAACTTTCTAAAAATGTGCGAAGACATACATAATAAATCTTAAATGAGAAATATTGTAGAAATTCTGTGTCTTTATAATTGTCAGGGTGAACTTTTGTGTCATATACATGCACTGATATATATTTTATTTTTTCTTTTGTGAAAAGGTTTTTTCTAATGCTGCTTATGAGAGGCTAAACTGTTAAAATCAGATAAGATTTAAATGTAAATTTGTATGCCCCATCTATGATAGTAGAGGGGCATTATGTTTTTCGGTCTGTGCGTCCGTTCGTTCGTCCGTCAGTCCGTCCATTTGTCCATCTGTCCTGCTTCAGGTCAAAGTTTTTGGTCAAGGTAGTTTGTGATGAAGTTGAAGTCCAATCAACTTGAAACTTAGTACACATGTTCACTATGATATAATCTTTCTAATTTTAATGCAAAAAATTAGAGTTTTGACCCCAATTTCATGGTCCACTGAACATAGAAAATGATAGTGTGAGTGGGGCATCCGTGTACTATGGAAACATTCTTGTTTATTTTATTTTCAAATTTTATTTGATAACAATGACAGAGCTTTCAGTTTATATATTAAGAGTGTAAATGATGCAGTGTCTGTTAGTTTGTCTATTCCTCTGTCAGTAAACTACATGTACATTCTTTGTCATGTTCCATTTTCCCTCTATTTTTGTTTAATAATTTGGAGAAATGACCATAAAAACTTTTGTTGATGCCACATAAGCATAATACATTTAAGCACAGTGTGTATGTAGACATGATGATCTTATTAATTGACATCTTTCAGAGGCAGAGAGCAATATAATCTTTTTTAGAAGATAGTTATTTTCTATTTGTTTAAAGGCTGCACTAAGTGTCATTTAGTAAATAAAATCCACACATTTGGTCTCTGGTGGATAGTTGTCTTATTAGTGTCATTTAGTAAATAAAATCCACACATTTGGTCTCTGGTGGATAGTTGTCTTATTGGCAATCATACCACACTTTATTACTTTTTTTATACCCTGTCTGTCCATCTGTGTGTCTGTCCATCCAACTTCATGCCTGACATATAATATTACTATTAAGTTAGAAAATTACTTTTATTAAAAACAGCAACTAGAAATTAATTCTTTTTATTTGTATATTTTAGTTTGTTGATTTGAATTTTTTTTTTTTCAGATTGATGGTATAGATGTGAGAACATTATCAGACAAACAGATTATGTCACTAACAAAAACAAAACGTCTAACAATGCTCATAAAAAGACTTGTGACAGATGATGGTTAGTATGACTCCCATCACTGGTGTTTGGTGGTGTGTAGTGTGGTATATGTGTGCACGCTTTGTGTAATTCCCTTCTGCTACCAGATTGCTCATTATAAAAACTGTCATGACTTTTGAATAGATGAATTGTTGTTTTATTTATTATATAGTTTTATACAAATATTTATTACATTTTTGAATAAACTATTTTAAGTACTGCACATGCCTTTTTCTAGCATTCCTCAGGAGCAAATACAAGGATCATTCCTAATGAAAATTAATTAAAAATCATGTAGCCTTCCCAAACTTTACCCACTATAACTTTCATTCTCAAAATACATGATTTTGGTGTGTAAACTCCTAAAAAATTGCTAGAATTTTACTGTTTATGGAAAAAATTGAATGATTTAGTGTCTGATTAATAATCAGACAAAAAAAAGGTAATCTTAAAAAAAGGTTGAAATTAAATATCTATATATTGACATACTTTTACCAGGTGAGTCATTCAGACTCATAGAAACCTCTAGTTCATACAGAATACAATGTAAGAATTGATTATTTTATAACACGTTCAGCACCAAAATTAATTTAATGCAATAGTACAGTTCCTAAAACAAATTGATGATTAGATTTGAATTTTTGTAGGAAATTAAATGTCTCTGTCAATCATTTTTAAGTTCAGGAGCAATTTTCTAATGTATTTTTAAGTATAACATCAATCATTAGCATGAAACTAATGCAAAAGGTAATTTTATTGTTTGGTTTAGGTAGATCGGGTCCTAAATTAATTTTTGATTGCAAATGAAGGGTCTAGATACGAATTGAAATTAGAATATTTGATTTCATTTGTGACACTTTTCATATAAATGAAAAAAAATATGGTTGTACCGTATGATAACATTTTTTTACATAAAAAGATACAAATTCATTGCTCTACAACTTTAAAACTTTGTTATATCAGGGGAAATATATAACAACTCAGGAAATTAATTTTTGTAAAGGAACATGCAGTAAATTAACAAATTTTGTTGTACAGTAATTCGACCATTTGATCATGAATTGAAATACATGTAACTTGACAACTTTACAATGTTTGGTTTGATGAGGACAAGCTTCTGTTGTTACATAGTTTTTGGACTTCTATTGTCAGAATCATTAACAATTTTTCAACAAATAATTAAAAGCAGAAGATGAATATATCCTAGTGCAGCTATTTATTACAACATATATGCTTTATCCTGAAAGCATAGTAGTCAAGGTCTTAAAGCAAACATGTAGTCGTAGTCATGGTAATCAGGTAGTTTCTCTAGATTATTGTTGGCTATTAGTTGTTTTTACATTGTGTATAAACTACTTTTGTCAGAAATCCTAGTAAAAGTGAGCATGATGCTTGAGTAGTAATTGGACAACTGTAGGATAACCATACTCATTTCATTTATGTCTGACGTTAAATTTAAATTGACTTATCTTTCAAAGACTGTAATGTAAGACTCTCTGACACGATGCTAATTTTAAAAGGTTTGATTTGATTTGTATTTGACTTGAATCATTTTCATGTGAGCCAGACATTTATGCTTTTTAAAGTTTTAATTTTCAACTATTTAAATTTAAGATATTCTTCCCTCATGTCTTTTTTTTGAAAGAATTTCAATTCCGCCTACAATGGCAGTATACAAAGAGGACAGTGAAATATTAGTAGTTTATGCAAATTGAAGGATTTAGGTTTGCAATATATTCAGCTGTATCTAGATCCTTTATATGCCACTATATCTGCTTATTCTGTCATATACTTTATTAGATAAAATATATTAAGTTTTTGGTATATCACTGGTCCAAAGAAATATCTTCATACTGTGCAACTATCGAAATACACATTTGTAAGTTATAGATATACATTGAGTAGACTGTCATAACCTATATATTCTCTCATCAGAGTTCAGTAATAGATAAATAAGAAATGAGACACAATATGCATTGAAGATTTTAAAGTTTCATAGCAACCCATTCAAGGGATCACTTGGAGATATGACAAACTACAAGGATTATAGCTTTCAACAGAGACATATAATACATTGTATTATATGCCTCTGCCTTCAATAAGTTATCACAAATAGAGTGGTGGAACAGAACACCAGTATCAAACAATTTTTGAAAATTTCATAAAAATCCTTTCACTGGTTCAGATGGATATTCTGATTAATGAACAGTCATAGGTACACTCATCCTGACCCCTATATCTCTACTATCTCTAAAGGGAATATAGATCAATGTAGTTACTTTACTAAAATCACATTTTTAATGAGAGGTTATTTGTGGCATTTTTTAATGAAACAGCAAACCAATATATATTACAAAAAAAAAAAACATCAATGAGATATGCAGCTAGAGTAGAACTTACAGTGTGAAATAATACGCCATAGTCTATACAAAAGGTTAAGCCCTTTGTCAAAAAAATTTGGAATATTCAGTTAATGTTACACTATTCACTAAAGGACTAAAATATTTATGAGGTTCTTGGCTTTGGACAGGCACATCAGAAAATGTGGTTGATTTAAAATGTCTATGAATTACATCAGCAGACATTAGAGTGTTGGATGGCATGATTTCAAAGCAGCAGGTTAATTAAGTCCTATGAGCTTGGGTTTAGTATCTGGGATTATTCATTGGTACGGTATTGTATTGTTTATTGGTGTTTTCCCCCCTTGTACTATGTTTTTGTTACGTTTTATGGTATTATTTAAGAGTTTAGTGTTTTACTCTTACTGATTTACAGAATTTTCTTTAATGCACCTTTTATAAGCCAACTGATGGTCATTGTGTTGTCCGTTTTTCTGTGACTGAGGGTTTTTGATTGGCCCAAATATATCTTTTTCTTACTGTAAAAAATAAAACAACACACAAAAACATTTGTTAGAGTGTCTTCATTTGCTTTGTCCATAAAATTCTTGGATAAAACAGATTTCCTGCAAGATGGATCATTTCACATATGGGAGATCTTTTATAGAAAATAATTTCAGATCCTAACAAAAACGTGACTTCAGGGGTATTTCATGATAATGCATTATCAAATTACGAATTTCCTATTCAAAGTAAACGGCTATTACTGTTGACACTTGTAGAAATGTTTTTACAAAGACTCTTTCTGTGATGACCTAGTGAGTACTTGACGACAAAAAGTCAATGATGCCAGATATGTACGGTATGAATACTTTTAAAAGTAGACAATTTAATGTTCTTTTTATTTCTTTGGCAGCGTGAAATAAAATAATAGAGATAATTTATAAAGTATTTTATAATTTTCCATTTCGCTTTAAACCGATTAAATACTTTGACGAAAGCAGCAATCCTGGTGGTAAATACTAGTAGTCAAATGTTCTGCTGTCTTCTGGACATTCCTTTCTTGCTGATTGGTTTTCATGCAAAACAGCTTTGGTTCAATAAAGTTTCCCATGTTATTAGGAGTAGAACGTATTAACGATTTCTCTAGGATAGGTAGCATTGTGATTGATAATTTTTCTAATTTTCGTCTCATTTTATCCACAAAAAACAACAAAGTTATACTTGAATTTTTTTTCTCGAAAATATTGCTTTGCGTGTCATGAACATTTTCTCATTACAAATATGCAGCGACGAATTTGAAAATTTCTATCTGAGTGCCTTCGTCTGCAGTAGTATATGATGAGGCTTGCAGGTGATTCTTGAACATGTACAAGAAGATGAGTGTCGACCCATATTTCACGGTTTACTGGCGTTTATTTAGTTTTTAATCCAAGGAAAGATTGATCAAATTTTACGCCCATGTTTACTCTCAACTTACATTCTATGGATATCATATTGCTTAATTTATTTGTGATGTAGTTAAATCGATACCTCGTGTAGGCCGACTGCCACACTCTATACGTTAAAATTCTTTGTAAAAACTGTCTGAGGAGTCCGCAAGTGGTCTGTTTGGAGGCCAAATGATTTGCCTTTCAAAAATTTTGATGATTGTCAGGATTTCCCGCCCAAATAATCCGGTCGACCTACTCTTTAATTTAGAACCTACCGAATATATGTATTAATTGTTAAGTTGATCTCGTCTTGAATATCCATCAAATATTCATAACTGGGCGTAAATCAAGAACCAAGCAATCCGTTTTATGCATGTTGGTTAATAAACCAGCCTTGAAGTCGCCTTGACTTGTCTCAAGATTTCCATAATGTGTTCTGTACTCACTGACATAGAGTGTTCTACAATCACATTACTTGTGTGCGAATATAAAGAAACATGCGTAGGGTATTGGTCATTGAGACAGATATACTACGACACATATAAACAGAAGATATTTCAATGTATACGTAAGAATGCAGTGACTCTTTTCACAAAAAATCTTACGAGTAAAAATTCTCGTAAGTCATGAACATTTCAGTATAACTTACGATCAATTTTAGTCGTAAGATTTTTTGTGAAAAGAGTCCCTGGCTCCTATTTATAGATTGACAGTTTGATCTGCCTTTCAAGCTTAGTGACTTAATTTAAGATTTAAGCCCACTTTCAGGTCTAATGCAAATGACTAGTTGAATGGGTACCTTTATTTTCAGTAACTTGTTACTGAGAAAATAATAATACAATAATATTATGTACAGTACATATACGTGGGAAATAACGACTAAATATTAACCTATTTTATGTAACCAGGAAAGAAGACTTTTACATATTTAATATATCTTCATTATGTTATTTTTCTTAACTACTCTTTAATTATATAATTATGAATACGAGTTGATATATTATATCTGAATTTTCCAACACAATCTTTATGTTATAGCAGATTATACCATCTCTCGGTCTCCAACAAAAAAAAAGGAGTTACCACATCTAAATATATGAACGTTTGGATACAATTCAATGGTGAAATAGATTGTTCAGCGTGATGTCTGTTTGCATTAAGCTATATCATTAATACCTCATATTCAAAATCATCTTTTAGGTTCTTGTTCTTAACTCTTAGAAATCCATTTACTGGTGACGGGGTCAATACCTAGTAAGAGTCATTTTGAAATTCACAGTTTACAAAACTTGAATTGTTCGAAATACTAAGGATTTTTTTACCCCAGGAATATATTACCTTAGCTGTATTTTGCAAAATTTTCGATATTGTTGGCCCACAATGCTCCTTAACTTCGTACTTTAATTTGTCTTTTAGCTTCTTTGTTTCGAACGTCACTGTTGAGACTTGTAGACGAAACGCGCGTCCGGCGTACACAATTATAAGCCTGGTAATTTGATAAGTTCCAAAATTATTCTTAATATTTTTTTGGTGAAATAATATAAACATTTAGTATGAACTTTCACCATTTAATAGACGACACCAAATTTTGTTATACGAAGTTTTGAATAATCGAAATTAGGTTTCTTCACAACGGTTACATAAAATTGGATACTTCTTTGCATTTTAATTAAAAATAACAAACGAAAGTTTTAAGAACAAACTCACAGGAGACAACATCACTCCAATAAAAGTTTCTTAAAATTGAAAAAAAGCATAACACAAATACCAAACTCCAAGGTAAATTCAAAAAGGGGAAGTCCATAAAACGTGACAAAATCGAACGTTATCAAACAATGGAATGAGTGAAACACAACTGTCATAATCCTGAATTGGTACAGTCATTTTCTGAAGAAAATGGTGGGTTAAACCTGGTTTTACAGATAGCTAAACCTCCCACTTGTATGACAGTTGTTTATAGTTCCGTTATATTGACAAAATTTGTTTGGGAATGTGACAATAATTCTTATCCAGCAGCCGAAGCTATGTAAACATGCATCACTGACATACCCCACACCTCACTTAACTAGACTCCTTTTCTCTATCCAGCTTAGACAGGCGGGATTTTTAATTTTTCTTTTTTTATAAATGAAAATGATTTTTAAAATTGTCTTTTTGTTGTTGGGTTGCTGTTCTCATTAATTTATACACATATCTCTTTTAATGCATAGAACATATCCATGCTGTAATCTTCAGTATTCTTTATAAACACTCATGATGGTCGTTTGAATCATGAAATATTCTTTAGACTCTAGAACTAATTTTGAAATTAAGAAGGATAAAGTATATTGTCTGCGGGTTTTTATTTCAACAACCAGTAATTCCGTCTAAATACTTTTCTGATGTTGTATTACTCTGCTGTACGCATAAATAACTATTTAAAGTGTCCCTTCTTATTCGCGCTTGCGTATTTTTTTATATTTTTTTTTTCGAATATCATTTAAATATTTATATCATCTGACTATTGCTATGTACAGTTGTTGTTTTGGATATCATTTACACTTTAACTTAGTTCACCGATTTTATTTGCAGATGCCACACCTCATCTGTCTGTTACAAGCATGGAGAATAACGAAAATAGGTTTGTTATTTAAGAATAAGCAATGCATTTTTGTCAAAACACATGAAACAGCATACCTCGTTTTTTGTTGCAAACAAAAGCAGATATTATTTCAATTCAAATAATGTCACAATCAGATGACTTATGTCTCATATAACATATTTTCTACAATGTTGAGACATATGAAAATGTTAATTATTCAAATAATGTTAGCAACCCTTATAAATTTATTTTTGGCACTTGATTTATATATTGTTTATACTTCTATTAATGCCACACCTCATCGTTAATATCTTCGTTCTAATGTTTCATACACTTTTTTCAAGTAGAGAAAAGCATGCATCCGACCTGATAATATTATCATTACACGTGCATGCGACCTGATAATATTCTCATTACACGTGCATGCGACCTGATTATATTCTCATTACACGTGCATGCGACCTGAAAATATTCTCGTTACACGTGCATGCAACCTGACAATTCTCATTACACGTTATAAGTTACAGGAGATTTTGAGGTGAAATGTGTACGAAAAAAATAGATATATAGCTGTTTATAGTCGATTGTAAGAGTTTTCATAAGTCATGCTTATTGTTGTTTGTAAATATGTGTCGACTCTAAATAGAATTTTCTAACTTGTCTTTCTTCTGATGTAAAAGTTTGTACCATGTATTAAATAACGAAATTGAAAAATCAATTCCTCTATTCTTCGATTGTAATGTTACCAAAGAGACATGATCTAATATTGTTTTCTTTAACAGGATGAGAAATGAACCTCATATGTCATCACAAAACCATTTGTCTACTAATAGTCAAGAAGATTACGACGATGAGGACAGTACGAACCAGTTCGGTATAGAAGATCAGCATTTAGCTCACGAAAGGGTTAAAGCAATATATTCAAGTCCCTTCTCACCCCACACACCTTTTTCTAGTGAAAAATCATGGACATCACAAAGATTGGTTTTCAAAAGCGATTGCATAACGCCACCAGCACGAGGAAGACCAGACCTTCGTTCACCATATCAGTATGAAATGAGGAGTCATAGTGCAGGGCGGGATTCTCAGCCCATCCTTGTTTCAAGACCAGGACCGGGAATAAGATACATTCGTAGTCGGTCTCAGTCGCCACATATACTTCGACAGAGAATGCCACGCCCTCGGTATTCAAAACAAGACCTTGAAATGATTAGGGGCATTCAACGCGGAATGGAAAAACGACAACGTGCTATCAGACTCTCTTATTATAATGCTGCATCTGTTGATAATTTAGACTGGGAAATATAGTGATATTTGTAAGCTTTTTTGAATGAATGATGTTTTACACTCCTATAAAGATTGTGTTTGTAGATTTATTCCTTATTATTGCATTTTGTGTTTGAAAACCACATAGTATGGTGCATATCATGTATCATCAGTCGGTTGGGATGTTCAACGTCCAACACATCAACTTAATGTTCAAAGTCTATATAATCTATTTGTAAAAGTATGAATTAGAATGTTGGGTTGGGGTCTGTGTTGAAGCAGATTTTATTCTAAATAAAATGTTGTTTTAATAATTTTTTGTATGATTAATATAAATCATATATACTTCATAATAATGAACATAGAACAGATACATTTATTGAGCATTTTTTGTTTTAAGGTAAACAGTACTTCGTTAAATTGCAACAAAGTTCTAGGGTAATAAAGTTTTTTAGAGGTCATATAAAAATGACAGTAATTTTTACCTCCAAATTGATTTTTGATCAGTTTTAACGTTGTTCTTGTTTTTTTGCTTAATGTGTGAGGAACATAATTATAGAGAGACAGTTTTACCACCCTAATCCCTGTTTCACATTTGAACATTCATTTGTCAAACAATACCCTGTATACCTATCTTTGTATGATAAAGTGTATTTACTAAATGAATTCATTTAATACAGTTTGCGATATTATCTTATGTTTCTCGATTTTGATGTTTTCCTGAATTATTCACTGTATACTAGTATTTTACATATTTATTAGGAAAATTTACTTGAGACTAAAATTCTCTATACACGTATATTATGAAAGTAATATCAAAACTCACATGTAGCATGGATTTATTAAAATTTCACTAACATTAATATCTTGGAATTACAAAATCATACCATTCATTTTTTTTTCATTGATATTTTGATATATCTTTTTATATGATGTTTATGATGTTATGATGTCGAGTTTGTTTCACGAATCTATAGTATTTATTTGAAGGATCATTGTTGTTATTTATTGATAGAAATCAAAAGAAGTATATTTATATTTTGTTTATGAAATAAAAATAATGTGCAAAGATGACTTATTTTAATGGGGAGTATTGATAATTCTATGGTCAGAATAAATAATATTTTGAATGTCCAAAAAAATTCGACACAATGAGTTCTGCCGCGTCTTGCAGTTTTATAAATATTAACGAGTTCAAGTTTACGGCTCATGACTGCATTCGTGAAAATTCCCAATTCATATACAATCCGACTGGCCAAGTTATTCCTGATGATTAAGGAAAAAGAAAGTTTTCGCCAAAGCGCCTAAATACTGTGAACTTAACTACATTATATTGGATCACAATACTGATAGATTCTGTCCAGTATGATGCCAGGGAAGTGGAAGAATGTGAAAAAAGACTATGATTCCCTTCTGGAAATGGTTATGAGGGCGTAGATACAAATATTATAATTTAAAATCTCTATGTGAATATGACCGTTCATGCAAATAAAAATGAAAATAACACTAAATAAAAGTGGTGCGTCCGAAGCGCTGTTTTGGATTTACCTTCTTCAGGAATGTTCTAACACATACATTTGAAAGCTAGGAATGTATAAATACTTTAATATCTGATGATCTGTATGACCCTAATGGCCCAAAATCCAACTAAGATTAGAGTTGCATAAAGGAGTTGGAACAACTTTTACCTTCAAAGACCAACATATTGCTATACACAACTTACTGTCTCATCTTCATGACAAATAAGTTGTTGTGCCCGGAGACCCCAATCATTATCATTTGTGTGCGTATCGGGTATATTTTCAGACAACATTTCCTAAGACATTTTGGAACTTGAACAAAATATTGAGAACAGGATTTTCCTTTACCATGTTGGATTCACCAAAAGCATGTGTCCTCACAAACAAGTCATAATTCTAGGCTTGTCGAATGCTTTATGAAAACGCTTTTTAAATTTATTTTACCAGCAATTGGTCCTCAGAGTTACTGTGAAACTATTTACTGTAGGAGCCTTAATTTTCCAAAACAAGCAAACATTAGACTGAAAAATGATTAAATAACAATATTGTTAAAAAAGAGAAATGTAAAAAAGGTCAAACTAAAGGCAGTCTCTTTAACACCGATCTGATGTAATGTTCGGGAGCATATTATATCTACTATTGTCATCGAAATCTAGAGGCATATAACCTTCTAAAAGAGGGACGAAAGATACCAGAGGGACAGTCAAACTCACAGATCGAAAACAAACTGACAACGCCATGGCCAAAAATAAAAAGACAAACAGACAAATAATAGTACAGATGACACAACATAGAAAACTAAAGACTAAGCAACACGAACCCCACCAAAAACTGGGGGTGATCTCAGGTGCTCCGGAAGGGTAAGCAGATCCTGCTCCGCATGTGACACCCGTCGTGTTGCTTATGTTATTACAAATGCGGTAAATACTGTGGATTCATTTTTATTCGTTGGATACCAGTTTCCGTGATTTTCGTTGGTATAGTTGAACCACGAATTTAAATGTTCAACGAATTACATATTTTCTATCAGGTTGTATGCAGACTGTGGTAAAACCACGAAATCAAATATCCACGAAAAGGCAAGCTTTCCGCAATCCAAGAAAATTGGTACCCACGAAAATAAATTAATTCACAGTAGTCTAATTCGGTAGGTCACATTCGTGAAAAGGGAAGGGTATTGAAGTTACGACATAAGGAACATATCCGATATCATCTGTGAAACGGTTATTCCATAACGGTCAACCAACTCGTGATGGCGTCCGTAAAATTTACGAAGGGATGATTTCAACTTCACCATTTGGAACTCTTGGTTTAATAGCTTCCTTGTGAGCAGCAATCCTCTATCAAGGAAATCATGATAGGAAATACAAGCCCGGGAATATCGTATCAACTGGGAGATATGTACTCCGTATGCAGGCGCTGCTGGAATGTTGCTACATAGAAATGGAAAGTTCACAATTGGGAAGCTGAAATCATCTCTTTTGTCGTAAAGTTTTGTTTTCAACCGACCCTCATTGTCAATTTTAGATGTAAGTCAAGATATGAGGCAGACTTAACTGTATCTGTAGTATCCTCTATCTGTAGTTCGATGGAATAGATTCGTTCATAGTCACCAAATTATTTGGTGAGAGAACATCATCTTTATAGCGGAACGTAAAGTTAAAGGATATTGCTTACTTCTTATCTTTCTTCCTAAGAAGTTCCTGTATGAAGTCGGCCTCATAATAATAAAGAAACAAGTCGGCAAGAAGAGGGGCACAATTGGTTCCCATTGGAATTCCGACAGTCTGTTGAAAAACACGTCCTCCAAACGTAACAAATATGTTGTCAATCAAGAAATCAAGCATCTTGATAATGTCAGTTTCAAAGAAATTTTTGTTTGAATCAGAGTGATTCTTTACAAAGTAGGATTTATCCCTCCCCAAGACAAGATACATGTATCTACGTTCGCCATTCTTTTTAATGAAACAAACTAATACCAACTCTTTCAATTTGTCTTTTAGTTTGGAATGGGGAATACTTGTGTAAAGTGTAGAAAAGTCAAATGTTTTAATACTATTGCAAGATGAGAGAGTCTTAGATTGTATGTACTCTAAAAGATCTTTGGAATTTTTTAGTATCCACATCTTATTCACGCCACCTCTAGAATAGGCACTTTCACAATAACTTTTGAGCCCGGCTTTGATTGCTGATAAAATAGATGTTATTAATTTAGAAAGAGGTTTCGTGGAGCACTTGGAAGACCCAGCAATATACCGTTGTTTGTAAGGACACTTATGTAGTTTAGGTATCCAATACAGTGATGGAAGATCCAGATCTTCATCTTTGATTGAAATTCCAAAGGAACATAGAACAGACCTATGATTATCCAGGATTTTCTCTTTGGTAAGTGTCGTGAGGGTATATGTTGAGTTTCCAAATGAATTGTCAATACCTAATTCATTTATCAAGCAGTTTATGTAATGATATTTACACACAAAAACGATGTTGTTTGGGGCTTTATCTGCGGGGACAACAACATATTTGTTATGGAGGTAGGACGACCTTAAAGCCTTAATCCATTCGGAAAGAGTATCTACGTCTACTTTCTCGCGTTTAGCCCATTGCCTGGCATAATCCTCGACTGAATCCATCAGTATTTTGAAGTTGTATTTCCAGTTGATGGATTTAGGCTCACGATATTTCGGACCTTTGGATAACAAATTTCGCAGGGAAGTGATATTGACAATGTTGAGGTCTCCGGTAATAACGTGACCAGCCGGATTATATGTGAATTGGGAACTAGCACAGGTGCAATCAGGAGGTTTAGACTTGAAGTTGTCAATGTTGAGATCCTGCAAAACGTGTTTGTAATTGAAAATTTTAGTTGCAATTGGTTTGGTATAGGTATAAGAAATTATTGGTACAGACTGATCTTTAAAATAAGGAGGTATTTTCGACTGAACTAATTTATGATGAAGGATATTGCCTCAGTTGACGCCATCGAGACCTTTGTTGGCAAAGGAAAGTTTAAGAAAAGATCTTTTCTCTTTTTCATCTTTTCCAATGCGAACTGGCTTGAAAAGTTCCGAAATGATAGCTGTAAGTTTGTATTGGTTTCAATGAGGGTTTGTAACAGTGGTTTCCAAACATAAATTGAACAGAGAATGAAGTTTTAAAAGGGGTAATGAATAAAGTTTCGTGCGAATGTGATGAATACCTAACCGCTTTTGTATAAATGGCAGCAAGTCATTAATAGAGACATCATACAAAGTAGGTGATGTATAATGACGATGACCATGACTGCGTCTACGTCGAGGAGTAGAGTTGAAAATATTCATCACATTCACCGAGCTACAGGAAGGACTAGATAGAATACCTATACCATCAATTTTGTCATTGCAACCATATGGTGTTCTAACAGACCCACAGCATGGATTAAGAAAATTGCGTTCCTGCGAAACAGATTGAAAGAATTAGAATTATCGTAGACACAAATATCTTGTTTTAGGAATATATCATACTTTGTTAGAAATTAAAAAAAAGCATTCTATTTCAAACAAAAAAAATCTCTGACATTGACATCACCATGATGCTTGATTTTTTATTGACAACATGTTCGTTTTGTCTTAAAGACGTATGTTTCAATAAACAATCAGCATTCGCATGGAAACCATCTTTGCCACTCTTCTTGCCGACTTGTTGCTTTATTCATATGGATAAGGAGCTTCTCAGAAAGAATAAAATGAAGTGTGGATTATCCTTTAACTTCACATTCCGCTATTAAAGATGATGTCCTCTTGCTAATCAACGCATAATGAACGCATCTGACACATCAAACTTTCAATAAAGGATACCATAGAAATGGTCTGCCTAATATCTCAACTGCCATCTAGAAATTGACAATGAGGGTCGGTTGATAACAACACTTTACTACAAAAGGAATAATTTCAGCTAGCCCAGGGTGAACTTTGCATTTCTAAGTTTCAACATTCTAGCAGCGCTTGTATATGGACTATCTATCCCCGGCTTAGTATATTTCTCGGATTTTGATTGGCTAGTGATCGTCGTTATAAAACCCATAGACCCGGGTGCTGCTAACCCTCATTATCTTCTCATTACCAATCCATTACAATCCAGTCACGTCTCAGTCATTACAACTGAACGGACGTGCTGGGTCAGCTCTCCTTTACCCGCTATCTTCGATGAGGGTTTACAGTTACATGGATCAACGACTTACTACTTTCGATGACAGAAACCAATCCAACTCTGTACAGACTACGTTAGGCTATAATCCGCGTAGGGCAAATTCCCGCGTCAACATACACTCCAAAACCCATTATGGATTGGGGAGTGGTATGCCGAGTGACGTCCGAGGGCTGTATCCTAGGTGTTAGATGATGGACCACCATTTCACTGTCTCACGACTTTGGTCCTGATAATGCTTCCTGTCATCGTTAATACTACGTCCGAGACTCATCTACCAGTACTCCATCATCGAGGTTAGCGGGCTGCCAAGCTGACCAATCTGGCCCTGAAAGCAGCCGTTGTGAAGACATAACATCAAAATAGTCAACAAAAGAAAAACCAAAACAACTCACAAAACCAAGATGGCGGCCTACCCAAATGGCGTCCACCACCTGTTCCTGACCGATGGCACAAAATTATTTAAACGCTCACCAAACGCCTTCGGGCACCGAGCCGACCGTGCGAGGGATGTATATCCAGTCAAGGTCGTTAAAAACTTCCATTTGTGTTCTGCTAATCCATATACCCGGGCGTTTCTACCACATATGCCAGGGAAGTTCACGCTCGTTTTTCTTAGTTTCGTGGTTGTTCCCAGTGAACAATTGAATATTGTAGATTATCCATGATGTCTGTAATTAAATATGTTATCCACTAAGGATTTTATTCTTATATGCCGGTCATTGGGATCCATTCTAGGAAATCAATTGGCTACCACGTCGTCAATGAACGGGACTACTGACCTAGTTATGCAAATGACCCCCGTTGACGTCACACCGTCTATGACATAACTCTTGCGACGTTGAGCGCCACATTTGATTTATTTTAGTATCGCTGTCTCTTGATTTAAAACATCTTATATTTGACTACCTGTAGGTATAACCCTACACTCCGTAAAAATATGTCAAATAATTTTTTTAAATAATAAAATAAAATTCGTTGCTTTCACGTTACACTTTGTTCCCGAATTTCCCTAAAAATTAACCGATTCGAACTAAGACCGGGGATAAATTCGTTATATGGGTATTTTAACACCCTTCAGTACTTCTAGTCGTAACCACAATCCTGTTCTCTTTTCCTCGATTGTGACATCACCGAATAAAACTTATCAGCGAATTTGTACTCACCATGACAGGCGCCACTAGTAGATCTGTTGATCTCGTTACCCTACCGAAGCATCCGAGATTATCCCCGGTTTTTGGTGATCATTTTTTTTATTTTCCATGACTTGTTTTGTGGACTTGTTTGCCTATTCGTCTTCTATAGTTTTATTTTTTTGCCATTATGTAGTCAGTTTCTCTTCGATATATGGAAGACAGGCGGAAGATACCAAAGGGATAGTCAAACTCATAAGTCGAATGCAAACTGACAATGCCATGGCATCTCTTGCTATACATGCATTAACCGCCATGCGAATCCATATTCAATCAAAATGTCACAATCGGGAATAGGAAAAACTCGGTAAAATTACAGATCAGACGACTATTCTGGTATCTAAAGATATAAGACCGCAAAATAATTGTCACCAGTGTGTTAAGACACTGACACATCGTATCGGTCACACAATTTGTAATCTGGTAATGGTGACCGTCAAAACTCATCAAAGATACCAGGCTAATTATTTTATGTACGCCAGTCTACACAAGACTCATCAGTAGCGCTCGAATCAAAACAGTTGAAAGGCCAAATAAAATACAAAATTGAGGCTAAATGCGGCTAAGGCAATCTATTCCTAAGTATAGACATAGCAAGATCTTAATTAGTGTTTCGAATAATTCGACATTTAATAAACAGAAAATGAACATATTAATGTTATTTCATGTCAACACAAAAGTGCTAACTACTGTGGGCCGAAAAAATTAAGTGGTGTTGATTTCAGTCGTTCTTCCTAATAACTCTGTTAGAGCAGTTTTTGTGTAAGGAGCACATCCCTGAAAACATTATGTAATATTAGATGACAAACACTCATCATCATCTGTGGTAACATGACGCATCTCTACTGGAACAGTTCTGGGTACACTGCTGTTTCTTGTTTTCATGAATAACATGCCAAAAAATATTTCAACTACCAGCTTTTTCTAGACTATTGCGTCTTGTATCGTTATATTAACACACTATAACGATGTGAAAACACCTGACTTATAAAATATTTAATTCTGATAAATGCTATGTCATCCACATCACACAGTAGATAAAATATACATTTTTATTGAATTATCTATGATAAACGACAAGCACTTGAAGATACAAATACTTGGGGCCAAACTTTCAGCACCAACCGATCATGTATCAATCACATTTGCAATGGCGCAAAGAAAACAAATTCCACCTGAACATTTCTGTTAACATTGCAGCTGCTGTAACAATTGCAAGCCCAATATAAAACCAACTAACTCAGACCATACGTAGTATTTGTAGAAACAATATGAAACCCACGCACAATACAGAACATAGGCAAACTTGAATATATCCCTCTCATGCAAAGCAAAATATTCCTTGCCCGGCTTTGGCTATACTTTTTGTCCTTTTTGGTTTATTAGCTCTTCCATTTTTTAACAAGTTTAGGGTTTTCTAATATTTTGGACTCAATTTATTGTCAACATGGGCATCATGTACAGAAAAATTGGTACCGTTAATGTTATTAAACACGTTCAGCAAAAACAAGCTGATTGGCAAATGGTGACTAGTCTACCTACGGTAGCATTTCCTCAATGATGTGAGGCCTAAAATTGCTGACACTTCAACAAAAGAACTCACTATGAAAGTTGTTTTGATGTTTGATGCATAATTGCTTCACCTAGTTGCCATCGAATAGCAATATAAGAATACCACAACCAGATATCTTGTGAATATTTTCATCCCCCTCTGTTCCTGTTTTAATAGTGGGAACAGTCCTGTTGCTCACAGCTGGTCTAATTCCAGATATGAGTCCCATTTAGTGATGCCATTAACATGGAAGCAACTGTGAATTGGATTGTGTTTTTTGCCTTGCACATACTGATTTTGTGTATCCTTTCTTTTCTATTAGAGAAGAAATATCCTGCAATATTCTTGCTACAGAAAATAAATGGGGAATGTGTTCATGGGACACAGATGATGCCCTGCTTGCATTTACATGTAACGTTATAAAGGGACATAACTCAAGGACGGTAAAAGTGACGCTATCCAAATTCGTACTTCTTCTGAGTTTTGTGATAATAAGCATTGTGTATAAGTTTCATAACATTTGGTTGAGGCAAACTTGAGCTAGAGAACAGAAACGAAAATTTCAGCAGTTTTCCATTTTTAGCGGGACATAACTTTAGAACGGTAAAAGTGATGCCACCAAAATTCAAACTTGATCTGCGTTTTGTGGTAATAAGCATTGTGATTAAGTTTCATAACATATGGTTGAGGAAAACTAAAGTTAGAGAACGGAAACCAATTTTGGGACGTACAGACGGACAAGGAGAAAACTGAATGCCCCTCCGCTACGGCGGGGGCTTACAAAAAAGAATTTAAAAAACACAAAGCTGTGTACAATTTTATATGATGTGCCTTTATAAGGGGTGTTCCATGAAAATATGTATGAGACCAAAGAAAGACAATCTGAATTTAACACTATGGGTGGATGTGACAACACGTTTAAAATGTAAGAAGATCTCTAAAATTAATTATATTGGTGGTAAGTCAATGTTAAAGTGCCTTCCTTGGGTACCATGTATGTCAAACTAAACAGCCATCAGAAGTTTTCTTCAATAAGTTTAATCTTTACTGGTATTTTCTATGAGAAATTTTCTTCAAATGGCATAACTAATATGATAGAAAATAGCAGTTTTAAGGGAGCACACTCAGTAATAAAATTGAGAATGGAAATGGGGAATATGTCAAAGAGACGACAACCCGACCAAAGAGCAAACAACAGCCGAAGGCCACCAATGGGTCTTCAATGCAGCGAGAAAAACCCGCACCGGCAGGTGGTCCTCAGCTGGCCCCTAACTAAAATTGTGTGCTAGTTCAGTGAAAATGAACGTCACACTAAACTCCAAAACATATAAATGAACTAAAAATAAAAAACATACTAGACTAACAAAGGCCAGAGGCTCCTGACTTGGGACAGGGGCAAAAATGTGGCTGGGTTAAACATGTTTTGTGAGATCTCAACCCTCCCCCTATACCTCTAGCCAATGTAGAATAAAGAAACACATAGCAATACGCACAGTAAAACTCAGTTTAAAAGAAGTCTGAGTCCGATGTCAGAATAGGTAACAAAAGACACTAAGCAAAATGATAATGATACATAAATGAACAAAGGACTACTAGCAGTTACTGACATACCAGCTCCAGGCCTCAATTAAACTGATTGAAAGATTATGTCTTCATCATATGAAAATCAAGTGCAATCCCTCCCATTAGGTGTTTAGTATCATACCATCATAAAATATATGAGAAGAACATAACCTGTATCATGCCAACAACTGGTTATAGAATAAATGTGTTTATTTCCGATGCAAAGACCCTATGAGTGAATCAATATTAATACCAAAATATGCAATCCTTAATGACTTGACAACAGTATCGTAACTATATCCTTTCCGAATAAGTCTGTTTAAAGGTTTGGTTAGCTTTTGTTGTGAATGCCGATATTTTTGTGATGTCCATTTTGAAAATAGTTTAATTCATTTGCTTATGTTGTCAATAAATATGTGCATCATGAATAGATAAAATTTATGCTTTTACCTTTGTTAACGTAATGACTTTAAAGAATATATTATAAATGTGGTCCATATGACCTTCAAGACTTTACCATGTTCACTAAATAATTATAAGGAAAACAATGCTAAGAAAATATTTCCTTTTTATTATCACAGACAATCATCTAAATATATATAAACACTCATTCATACTGTACAATTCAACATTTTCTGATAACATCCATTTCAATCACCAATCAACTTCTTACTGTCATGATTAATTTTTATCAAAAAAGTTTAAATCATTTCATTAATCTAACAAAGACAATGGAATATATAATGCACTGCATTATAATTGCTGCAATCAAAAACAACAATTTTATTCTGATCTGGGCAATAAAACTGTCAAATCCAATATCATATTCAAAACTAGTTATACTGATGCCACAATCTTTAACATGTAAATGCTTTCAAGTTCGTTAATTTTTCCTGAGAATTTATCTAGTATCATCTCTAATGTCTCTATTCCCCCTTGAACACTGGTGCTCTCTTCTCTATGAAGGACTTCATCCCTTCAATTCTATCTTTTGTTGGTATGACCTACAAAGTTAGAAGAAATAATTTCAAAATTCTTATGCTGTTAGTTAAAAACTTTTCCTTAAAAGTCCATTTTCCTTTTGAATAAACAAATGTTTCTGCCTCTAAAAACATCATTTTGACTAGTCCTCTATAGATAGGACACCATATTCTCGACAAGATTCTATGTGCAGAATATGCCTATTTTCTACACTTGATCACCACTATTGTAAAGGAGTAATAATTTAGACAAACAGAACACCACTCAAGCATTATCATATTTAGAATAGAAAGGAGAAATGTGCACACTTTAAAATGTCTGAAGAACTTGCATTAATGTCATTTCACTTAGAAATATCTAATTCTGAAATCTTTAAATGTTTTAAACTTTTAAAAATACAATCATTTAAAATTTATCTTACAATAACAACATAATTATCAGTACATGTATGGAAAATACATCAAAGAATGCATTACTACAGAAAAAATGGAAAGTTTGAAGATTATAATTTAATGAATTTTCGTCATCTTTGTTGAAAACAATGTGTCATCAATTCAAATGGTTGGGATTGCATTACTTATGATTTGTAATTGAAAAGATCATATGAAAGGGGGTCATCTTTTGGATGCTAGTTAAGAAAAGTGATATCCAAAATTTCAACAAATTAGAAAGATTTAAATACTTTTCTCAAAAATCAAAGATTTTCTGTGACCAAATAATTCAATGCTTATAAGATTTTTGGTGTGTGTCATTATAAAATATATAAATTTAATAATTACCTGAGCATAACCACATTCTTCAAAAGCCATACCACTTGTGAGATCCACCTGTAATTATACAAGAAGAAAATGCAATAAACTGTAACCATGTCTTGTACTTTGTAAATTAAAATATTTTTGAAGTTCTGGAAAGATCATTTTGATCTGCATTAGGTTCTAAAATATATGCAGCATATAAACAAGGGATTAAAAATGAAAAAGTTTTTTAAATGCTACATATTCGCTACTACAGGTTATCCACAATTTTGCATGAGTTCATAAAACAAGCCTTTTTCACATAATAACTCTATTTCTAAATGAAAGTCATACAGGTGTTATACCACCAAATCATAGTACGTTGCATCCGGTTTCATATGGAAAAGGGTCGAACAAAAATATAAAATATTCCCTTGAATTTGACTGTTGTAGGAAATTAGTCCTACATTTCATTGCAGTAAAAAATTTCTGAGTCATACACATATATCTTGGGTGTTTCAAAGCACCACTCTTTTTTTATTTGGTGTTTCTATAAAATATTTTGGTAACTTGAGGTTACATGGTTACTAAAGCTTGTAAACAGGAAAATAGGGGGGGGATTTGATTGGTTAACTTCCAGTGACGGTTATTATCTTATATGCAATGAAATGTCATGTGAAATTTTGTCTGTAGTACTGAACAGGATAAAGCTTTACTCATGCCAAGTATTTCTTTATTTGAAACAAAGAAAAATTCTACACAATTTTTTTGAAAAGTGCCAATTTAACAAAGACTAATAGGGGAAAAACAATGGTGGTACTACTGCTATTAAGGGAAGATGCACATGCACCTTTGACCTTGTATGTACTATCATTTCTTAAAATTTCATGCTATTTCAGTGGAATATTGCAAAAATGAAATATTCTGAGTGGATTGAATCTCAAAAACACATTTTAAGAGAAAATTGCCTTGAAATAATGCTCGGCCATGAATATTAGTAGGCAGAGCAAGCCATACTCAAGTGTTTTGGGGAGCTTCTTCCTACTTTTCCTCCTTATTTCCTATATTTTGCTATAAAAGAAAACTTTTTCCTAAGTAAAACTTGAAGAAATATAGTTATAAGTTAATGAAATTATTTTTGAAGTAGTAACAACAAATTATTCACTATGAGGGAAATATTGTATATCCCTCTCTGTAGCGCGGCATAAACTTAAGTTTTACGTGAGGACTTATTGAAACCTCCATGGAGTCAGTAAACTTTTATATTGAAAGTTTATTCAGCCTGAACACTTCAATTACTCATTTATTATCACTTTTCTTGCATAAATGTGTGATAGTTACCCCTAAATTTTGATTTATTGGCCTAAAAAGTTGAAATTTTGAGGAAATGAGAGATATAAATGGACCAAAAGGGACCTTACAATGAAGACAAAGAGGTCCATTTGTTGTATTTATCACCTTAGGGTCATCTTTTGTGTCATATTCAACTGTTGGTATGCAGATGAGATGAATATTTGATCATTTATCATGTTTATTGGTCCACACTGTATTCTATCATGATGCGGTGTGATTTGGATTTTTAGAAGAAATTTTGCAGTAGATGTCGTCTTAAATTATACTAAATTTCTCTCAAACAATTGAACTGATTATGACAAAACTTGACAGTAATGCTTGAAATAACCAGTATTACAAAGGGAAAAAAATCACATTCAGTTTATTCAACAAAAAAGTCTTCTTTATACAAAGCTATCCGAAAAAGGCAAACAAAATTAGAAATAAACATTATCAAATGTTATATATTAAAGAACCTTTTTTCTTAAATCGTATCAAAATTATATTGTAACAATAAAATAAGAAATGTATATATTGTAGATATCACACATAAGAACCTGAATTGCTCACCTGGCAAAAATTTGAAATTTTGCAATTTATTTGGACTTTTCTTCTGCTGAATTTTTATCACAGACAATTTATCTATTTTCTTATATACAGCTTTTTGAAAGCCTTCAAAAGGAATAAATACCATTAAATTATTTTAATCCAGGATCACACTGACTGATAGTTTTAGTCATGTGACATATTTAAACATCCTGCCTTCATGGTAATTTTGGCTGCTTACAGTTTCTGTCTATCTATTATGGTTTCCAAGATAGAAGGAAAAACAGTTTTTAAATTGGTCAAAAATTTAACTTTTTTGTAGATTGCTGATTATATTTTTTGCTCACAGTTGGTAACAATATAATATAGTTTTCAAGGTAGTATGCAAAAAGGCTATAATTGGTTAAATTTTGCAATTTAGAGGAAATAACTCCTATAAGAAGATTTTTCAAAAGTTTACAAAGCCCATCAAATAATGGAAGTAACTCACATAGCCCAATGGACCAGATGAGTTCATAAATTAGGCCAATAGAAATATAAAGCAAGACACAAAGAAATTATACTTCAGATATAAAATACACTATGGATAAAATAAACTTAATCTAGCTTAAACAACCATTGGACATTTTAAAGTGAACAACAAATAATCAATCAATCAATCAAACAATCCATCCAAAACAATTATTTATATCAGCCTGAATAGAACCAATAATATCTTACTAAAAAAAAATTCCTCAATTAGAATAAAATGTATGTAAACAGTACAAACATTCACCAAATCTAGGTGCAAGAGAAGTAAAATGAATTTATTCATACTTACATCAGAACCCTTGCTTATAGCCATTTTTGCCATTCTCAGTGCTACTGGTCCCTGAAATTTGAGGTAAATAAATTACTACATGTATAAGAAAAATATTTCTTGTGAACCTATTTCTATGAACATAATGAATATTTGAATAATTGAGTATATGACAACTGGAAATATTATGTAATTTTTTTGGTCCACCTTGTTCCAAAAAGGTGTTTATTTTTGCTGATCTAAATCATTAACAATTAACCATGATTAGGATAATCCTAGCAGACAACATTTTCACACTAAAGTTGTAAACTAGATATTCGTAATATTGATGCAATATACCTTCTATTACATAGAAAATGTTTAATGACAGTAATGTCTTGTTTACTTGATAATAATGTAAGGCCAAATAAAAATACATGTGTGGTTCCAGTTACATCCTGAAAAAAAATAAGGTCAGTAGGTCAGCATTTTTTTTTTTGTTAAATTTTTTCCATTCCAGTATCATAAACACCCTTACTGTAAGTTTGCAATCTTCTATATGTTTGGTTGTAAAATAAACAGACAAGTTACATTTTTAGTTAATTTTGTTGCATTCTGTTACGAATTTGTAGCATTTTTTGTCGTGGTGGATACTTCTAATGGAAATTCAGATGACAGAAGTCTGTGTATCTAATTATTGAAATTCACAATCCACCAAATAGGATCGTTCCAAAATTTATTTTTCAAAAGTGAAAAAAAAAGTTCAAGGGTCGAACCGGGTAACTGGAACCACACATATATTTTTATTTGGCCTAAATAATCTGAAGCTGTTTTGAACTGCTTGTTATCTTGACACTAAGTTGAACTTGAGAATGTGTTTCTCTAATTTTAAAATGACTAGCAATTATGACATAAATGGCAAATAAAACAAAAAGAAAAAGGGATTTTAAACTAGAATCAATTTATAGTATCTTTGTTTCGAAAAATTCACCTATAAATGGTTGTTTTTAGGGCCTTTCTATCTTCCAAAGCATTAATAACTGATTTTGATCAAATTTATATGGCGTTGAAGATTAATGGTTTTAAGGTAGCATAGAGTAATATTCATATCTACAATCTAATTTTTAATTTTTTTTATTGCGGTGTTCAAAATATAATTTTTTTTTCATTTTTAAGGCAAATTTTTGTAATCCTAAACTGATCATGACAGATATCATTTTTACAGGTATTGTATTAGTACTATTACTAAATAATAGTGACCAAACTAGCAAGCATATTGCCAAAACTAATGGCATAGATACTTAAATATAACAGCTATAAAGATTACCCAAATATTTCAATTCACTTGTGCATAATTATTTTTATAGACATTGGAAATATTTGGAACTACATTTCAGTGTAAGTAGATTAAGTTCCAATCATTCCAAAAAAACAGTACTTACATTTGGTGTAATTTCTAGAGCTAATTCTACAGCTCTTTGGTAAGCAGCATCCCCAGCATCATTTTGATCTACCGAGTGATTAACTACTCCCAGTTTAGCAGCTTCATGACCATCAAACATTCTGGCAGTAAATATTAATTCCTTAGCAAGTGCAGGTCCAACAACTCTAGTTAACCTCTGGGTTCCTCCTGAAATGTGAAAAATGTGAAATGTGTGGCAGCCAATCAAACATATATATCAATTCAAGTAAAGTATAAATCTATTTATTATTTACTACATGAAATCAATTCTTTACAAATGTTTTATTCAAATATTGAAAAGGATATACATTACACTTGTTTAAAAAGTCTCTCACTTTTGTAAATATTATTCTAGCAGGTTTGTTTTCTTCATTTGAATAAAAAATGATTTCTTGTTAATAAGTAAACTTGAAAATGTCAACTATTCATAATTTTCTAAAACAGCGATTGGATTGTCTCCCTCTATATTTTTGAGAGAAAAAATATGTGGAATCAACTTTGATATCAGTATAGAGCTTGCAATGGCAATCATGAGGGTAGAAATCTGCACTTTTTATTTGGGGTCATATGCTATCTAAGACAGCAAAAGACTCTTTCATTAATATAATCACATAGGATTTACATTGAATATGCTAGAGTATTTCGTGAATTGAATAAATTGTCTTCATTTAAGCTTTTTTTTTCATTTAAGGAATGTTGAAGGTTGGTGGTAGATGATGAAAATGTTATTTTATACTTTCTGAAAATCCTTTATACAACAATGGGTTGATTTAATGACATTAATTTAGAATCCTAACTAAGGTTAAAATCCAAATTGGTGACACAGAGTCAGGTTGGATGGCTCACAAATATGTAAAAAAATATATTCTAATGCAGAGAAGTAAATAAGAACTGAATTAATTATTAGTGTTTAACACCACTTTCAGCATTGTTGGCTATATGCCAGTATATGGTGGTTGTCAGTTTATATTGTGGAAGAAACTAGAGTGCTCATAGAGAACCACCTACCTTCAGCAGAAAAATTGATAAAATTAGTCAATTAAGATTGAAGTCAAAAGCACCTACCACAAGTGGGTTGGAAATCACAATCTCAGCTATGACATAGCTGAAACCACTAGCATACACTACAAACAACTGGAAATCTTATGCACAGTTAAGGTAACAAGCATTCTGTGAGTATTGCATTGCAATACATAGTCCCCTACCGGTTAAAAATTCATTGTAATGGAATGAAATTCTAACTATAACTTGTCATGGTGTAAACTACATAAAAATATCAAGTCAAAATCTTTAAGCACGACGAAAAAAACTGTTGAAAACTGATTATTTAAGTGAATTTTCTATGTCCAAAAACTATAACTCTGCACAAAATCATCAAACCGGAACAAAATTCCAACTTGATCTGTAACTTGTCACGATAAAACTATATACTAATTATCAAATCAATATCTTCAAGAATGACAAACAAACTTCCACTAATTTCTTCAAACAATTTACCAAAGACAAGGAAAAAAATCCAAAATGTCATTTGGTCTTTTAAATTTTTTTTTTTAAAATGAGTTATTTCTCTTTGAATAGAAATCTACTGATTAATAAGTATTTCATCAAAAATTTAATTCTAGGGAAAGGGCTTTAAATGAACAAAGAGAAAAGCTAAAATCGTGAAAATTGAACTTGACCTGTAACTTGTCATGATAAAACAATAAACCAAATATCAAATCAATATCTTCAAGCACGAAGACAAAAAGTCTGGAAAACTGATTTGCCTAACTGACAGGCAGACAGACAGACAGACAGACAGACAGACAGACAGACAGACAGACAGACAGACAGACAGACAAACGGACGGAGTGCAACCTAAAGTCCCCTTCGACTTCGTTTGTAGGGGATTAAAAATATTAAGTTTCCAAATTAACACAACATTATACCTACCACCCCCAGGTATGATTCCTCTCTTTGTTTCTACCAAACCCATTTTGGCATTACTTGCTGAAATACAATTAAAAGTGCAATTAATATTTTACAATAATCTACCATTATAGTTTCATCTAGTGTACATTTTACCATAATCTATGTTCCCTGCTTAATTAATATTTACCAAGATGTACAGCAAGCTATTGTTCACTAACTGTACTATCAGTCAATGTTGTTGATGCTATATGGATGAAATTAAAAAAATATAGTTTCTGCAAACAGGAATAATAAACTGTTATCACAGAGATATGTCTCGCCTTTTTGTAATTTTGATAATGCAAATGTTGAAATTAAAATAGCAATACTTTAACATGAAAGTTATGCAAATATTCAAAGTCGATGAACCATGACTGAAGGTACATGGCTAAACAATCTCCATGGAATGAGATGTGCCAATGCTAATACAACTGCATACCAAATACCATTGACATATTATAAGTCGTTCCCTTTAAACAAATCTAAACACAAACATTAACTTGTAAACTATGTAAAAGTTTCAAAGTCAATGAACCATGATCAGGGGTGGGGCTATATAATCTCCATGGAAATGATACTTGCAAATGCCAATAAATTTGCATACCAAATATCATTGACTTAACACAAACTAATACATGTAAACTAAGCAAAAGTTTCAAAGTAAATAGACCATGACAGAGGGGGCAGGGCCAAATATTCTCCATGAAAATGAGATGTGCTAATGCTTATACAACTGAACACCAATTAACATTGGCCTACCACTAATGGTTCCCCTTGAACTGACCTAATCACAAACTAATACATGTTAACTTAGCAAAATTTTCAAAGTCTATAGACCATGACTAAGGGGGCGGAGCAAATAATCTCCATGGTAATGAGATGTGCCAATGCTAATACAACTGCATACCAAATATCATTGACCTACCACTAGTGGTTCACCATGAACTAGACCTAATCACAAACTAATACATTGTTGACGCCGCCGCCGCCGTCGCAACCGCCGCTGCCGACACCAGAAACAGCACACCTATGTCTCGCTTTTTGACTCCGTCAAGGCGAGACAAAAAATGGGAGGAACTGAAGAAGTTTCACATGGTATGGCATACCCTTACAGAAATATGTTATGGATGGATTGACAAAGCAGGGGTAAAATTATAAACTGCAGTCAAACCTCATTAAACCGAAGTCAATGGGATCAGACAAAAGTATTCTACTTATCCAAGGTCGAGTTTGTTGTCATAAATTTAGAATGCATGAAATACCGTATGAGATTTGTGAAAACTAGATAGTTTTGGTCCATCATAATAATTAACACACACAAGTACAGATACAAAACATTCACAAATATAATCAATACACAATAATTTACAAAGGTCAGTCAATATTAATTATGGAATCACATGTGAAACAAAACAAGTCCTGAAAGATCACTGATGAGAGTTGTCTGCTTTACACTCAATAATTATAAATTTGTCATATTGTCTTAATCCTTTTAATTATTGCAATTAATGGATTTCATTTCCAATGATTCATTAATCTCGGATTTGGTCATTTACTTTTGTTTTTAGTGTTTATGTCATGTGAAATATGTTAAATTTCCACTTGGATGATCAACAAAAGGTCATCATTAACATGTCATTTTAGAAACAAGTATGTTTACACAGCTTTAAAGTCATATGAAACGAGTTTCTTGTAATTTCAATGTTATCAATATTATTGAACCAATGCATGCATACATACTAAATTAAGTCCTGTATGCACTTTTTTTAATATTCATTACGAATCTATAACATATTATTGACAAATAATATTTCATTCAGTGATTGTTGATAGCAGGCTAATTAACTTTTGAGTATGTTGCCAAAGTTTACCAGATTGTGACATTGATAAACAATCAACACAGAGCATGTGAAGCACATAACAAATACGTGAACAGATAAAGCCATGTTTTTTTTTTATATTTTCCATGTGTTCCCATTTGTTAATTAACCTTTCCCTTAACAGTTGTTAAATGATTTGTCTTTAATCACTTATGATACCAATTAGTTTCACAAATAAAAACATCTAATTTTATTTTTTTTCTGAAGTCTTCATTTTTCAAAATTTTTGCTTTTGAACTTTGAGACAAAGGGGTCAATTGACAATTATTTTATATCAACAGGACTATAAAATTTACTCAACTTAACCAAGAATTTGAATCAACCACGTTCCACTCATCAGAGGTTAAAAACTTAAAATGCATTGATCAAACGTAATTATACAGGGACCAAGAAATTACCTCGACTCATCCAAGTTTTTTACACATCTCAGTTCGACTTTATGTACAAGTCATATTATGATATGCTCTGAGCAACAGAAAAAAGGAGTTAAAAAGTGTATGTATTTAATTACCTAGAAGCCCAAAACAATCAATTTGTTAAAAAAATAGCATTATTTCATTGAATATTACATGCAATTCTCATGTCACATGCCAAAGACATTTCTAATCCTCCACCAAGAGCATAACCATCTATAGCAGCTAATGTTGGCATTGGAATATTAGATAAATCTGTGACACTCTGTCGTAGTCCAGCTACAAATGGTCCTACTTCCTCATTGGTCATCTTAGCTCGCTCCTTTAAGTCAGCACCTAAAACCAAGATTATTTTACTTTAATAATAATCTTTTTAGTTATATTAAGTATACCTTTTCCTGTTGTATTAAGTTTCTATCACCATACTTAGGTTTAAAAAAAAATGGACCACATACTAAATTCCTATTCCATGGCTGTAACAGTGTTCCATGCTTTGAGGGATGAGCTGCTTGATTGCGATTTCAAAATTCTAAAAGTTTACAATTTGATATATAAAATACAATCCACTACTAATGAATAAATATAATCAAAGTGATTGTGAGCACTGAAGGGTTAAGATTGAATTTATTTTGCAGTGGGAACTAAAAATTAAGCATTACATTGTATTAAGCATTGGAAGGGAATACTATGTATGAATTATAGATATCTTCCCTTGTAGCAAATTGTAGTTTGTTCAACTACAATTATGGACAAAGGAAGATAACTCAAATTTTAAATTTTATGTTGTTCAGTCTTTAGTTTTCTATGTTGTGTTTTGTATACTGTTGTTTGTCTTTTGGTCATTTTTCGTTTTTTGCCATGGCGTTGCCAGTTTATTTTTTACTTATGAGTTTGATCATCCCTTTGGTATCTTTCACTTCTCTTTTTTTACAATGACATCATTTATATTTTTAGATACTAGATCATGCACCACTCACAATTTATGTAATTTTCTTGACAATATAAAAATAGGCAACTATACAGCCTTCAACAATGAGAAAAACCCATACCACATAGTCGACTATAAATGGCCATGACATGAAAAATGTGAAACAATTCAAACGAGAAAACTAACGGTCTAATTTATAACAAAACAATACTAAAAACACATATGGCATACATGAACCATACAACAAGTATGGTTCTACACATACATTTATCTTAAATAAATTTCATGAAATATTACTGGATAAGATGTATATAGACTCAAATATATTTTAACTCAAAAGTAGTGATAAAGTCTGGATAATTGATAACTATCAAGCCAGCCTCATACAGGTTTTGTTTCAAATGCAATCTTTACCCTAAAAATTACAGTTGCACTATGTGTGCATAAGCCAAATTGCAATCTTAATTGATTTGAACATGTTGTATTAAAGGAAACAATTTCTGAGGTGGAGTACTGTTTTTTGGGGGGTTTCATTTATCCTTTTGGCAATGAATACTGGAAAGTCTGTTGGAAAATGGCTGCCATTGACTTTAATAATAAATTATGAAGAATAATGTATGTAAACAATAATATATAATCCATAAATCAATACAAGTTAAATGTACAGGGTGTAAAAGGGTTATTTTCAAGGTAAAGTTGCAGAAGATTGAACATACATGTATGATTCAAAAGATATCATTATGAAACTTCAAATTTCAGTCTAGCAATTGCTGTGACTTTGATCTATTGATCCCAAAATCAACACTTGATAGAAATCTTCTTCACCCTGTGATGGATTATCAAACCAAGTTTGGTTCTAGTTGTAGATATGGTTCAAATATATACATGATATATACATATATAGACTCAAATTTATAGCTTGCTGTTTGGTGTGAGCCAAGGCTCTGTGTTGAAGGCCGTACTTTGACCTATAATGGTTTACTTTTACAAATTGTGACTTGGATGGAGAGTTGTCTCATTGGCACTCATACCACATCTTCTTATATCTATATATGTATATATAAATATTTGATTTGTTGGTTAGGGTTATGTAGGATTAATTTTGGCCTAGGTTGTGGTGAATTGATAGCAATAGTCTGCCATATAGGTGCTAGATATCTCATTAGCAGTGATCTGTATCTATTTTTTCATATGAGCCATATCCTCAACATAAACCATTAGCAACAGTTTTGTACTTACCTGCACAGAATACACCAGGCACCAAACTTCTAATAATCAGTACTCTTATGTTTTTCTCAAACTTCACATTGTTAATGCAGCCTTGAAACTGAGATAAAAATTATGAGGAATAAATATTTGTCAAATTTGAATTTGAAAATGTTTATGTGACTTACCACTTTAAAATGTAACAGGCTACAAATAGACAGAAAGTAAAGGTCAATAAGTCTGCAACCCTCAAGTACAATAAAACTAAAAAGCACATCTACCATTTCTACCATGTTGAAGAATCTTGTAGTAATTTATTTTGGGGGAGCAGCAGCAAAAACTAAATTTTAAGCTTTTTATTCTACGTAACTAGGGATCAAACCGACAACCTTCAACATGTTTAACATTAGAGGGGAGCACACTTCCAGGAGACCACCAAAATCGGTTCTTTTGGACGTATGATCTATACTGCAATGACACTTGTGTGTTTTCTCTCAGTAAAATAATTAAGTGTGTATCCCTCTTTTTATCAAAGTGATAGAAACCTATCATTACATAGTCAGCCGTCAGTTATCTACAACCAATTCAAACATAATCTACATCATGATATTATACATGTTATATTAGCTACAGCATATGTACATACAATGAGCAAAATAAAGCGTATCCTGGAATAAAAGCTGTACCCTTGATGTATAAATAATTAAGTAAAAATTCAAATTTAAATTGAAACAACATGTAATTTTGTTTACAAATTTAAATGAAATACAAAAGTGTGACAATATGAACATATCTAGTACATGTATATTTAAAACTTGGTAAAAGCATCCAAAATCATTTTTTTTAAATCTAGCTTTAGAAATTTAGGAAAAGCTAATTGAATAAATCATGTACTAATGGGAAATTCCGATACTATAAAAATCCCTTCATGCATGTACAATCTTACATGTACCTTAATTCAATGTTTTAAGTAAAAATACATTGAACTTTATTTGAACTTTGGTGGATAGTTGTCTCATTAGCAATCATACCTCATCTCCTTATTTTTATATTGACACCAAGGGACAGAATGTTGGAACAAAAAAATTTCTGTCTGAAATATATATTAAATAAATTGCTTCACCGAGAGCAGCTGGATACGACCGCAGAGGTCCAACCCTGAACAGTTGGGTCAAAAATGGACACAATATTCTAGCTTGATACAGGTCTGAATTTGGATTGTGATTCAATATTTGACACACAATAGGTTTCTGACACAGAATAACTGTAGTCAAAGAACTTAGAATTGGTTATATGATTTGAATTTATATTCATTTTTTTGCTTTTGTGCAATACACTATGCTGTTGTGAATTGACCTTCAAGTGGAGAGAAGTCTTATTGGCAATCATACCAGATCTTCTTATTTTTACATGTTTTATATGGTCTCCAAAAACAAATTTAACATCCTTTCTTTTCTACATCATGTATATTAATTACAAACCTACCTGACTGAGGAAAACTTTTCCTAAAGAATTCTTTGCTTTTGGTCTATTCATTGAGATCACAGCAATACCTATGATAAAATAATAATTGGTTTCTAATACAATTTCACCAATGAAAATTTGTTTTTAAGTGAATATCATTAAATTAACAAATGTACAGTACATGTATATATTCTCTCTCATGATATACATTATAAACTTGCCATTTTGTATATATCTTATACTGACAAATGGAACTATTGTGTCAAAAATATTCAAAAGTGTTTTGACTGTTATAAATTATGTTTGGTAAAGTGTCTTGAACTTAAAATATCGTGTTAGCATAGTTAGCAAAATGGTTAGGATGGACTTGTGTTGTTTGCAGAAAACTAATTAGAATATATTTAAATACTATATTAACATGATTAAAGGTAGGATTTAACCTTAAAGATGTTATAGTTAATATACAATATTTTTCTGTTAATATCAATCAAAAGTTAAGCTTGGTATGTACACATATGTTTAAGTTATAAAAAAAAGCAATATTGATTAATTTTGCATCTCTAACATCCTGACATCATGAACATATCATAAGGAAGTTGACAAAATAAACCATTCTTTTTTTCTTTTCTTTTCTTTTTATGTTTTTTGGTTATTATTGAAATTAAACTATTCTTTTAAAAATAACATAATTAAGGTGACAAAATTACTAAAAAATTAATTTATTTTTAGAACAATTTTTGAGGTCAATAATGAGATCCTGGCTTCAAACACTGAACTGTTTTAATAAAAAAGTAAGAAACTTATTTTGTCATAAATGGATTCATTGATAATTCTTTAATAAATATAAGTTACAACATTTTATAATAATATGTAATTGTAATTTGTATCTCTTTATTTTTATATTAACAGTTCTGACAGAAAGGTCTATTGGGAAGGTCATGATGCTACTGAACATGTTGTACTGTTTCATTTATTAAATGCACGTAAAAAAAGAGCCTCAATGAGTATACCCTTTACTATCAATGCATCACAACTTAAGGGAAACCCTGGAGGTAAATAAATGTTATGTGTTACATGTATTCAGACTAAATGAGTCTCCTCTTGATGTTTTATGCACATGCTCTTTAATTGTCTGTTGCGACCCTCTCCCTAATACTAAAAGGATACATGTACACGATCTTTGTGGTCCGTAAAAGTGGTAACCCGAACTCAGGTGCAGTTCATTCATAAAAAGGAATGTTGAAATTTACACTTTGGGTATTTAGCTGAATTTGCTCCAAATGACCCTATATATGTATGTCTCTGTATAACCTTCTGGGTCTTGCAACAATCTCTATTAACTATGACATCAAATGTTGTACATTGTGAGGCAAAATTTTTACGGGACGTTGTTTGACTTAAACAGAGACATATACACATGTGTATATATGTCTCTGACTTGAAGTGATGAATGACAAATTTGCAAACAATTGGATAAATACGTCTATTACCATGATTACCCTCTCCCCTTTTCTTGTAGCAGTGGAGCGTCATATGTAGCCTGCTTCCTATGAAGTTATTATAGGATTAATGTCTGAAATAACCCCTTCAGATTTTGTTCAATAACTGTAACACAGAACATAATAAAAAGGGGGGTCATGAACCAAAGCGACGATTAGCTTGCATTTTGTTTAAAACAAAATTAAAAATACCTTCATTGTCACCCTCCAAAAATTCAAGACTGCATTCATCAGTATCATTTGATTTAACTAAATACGTGTTTTTTAACATAACCGAGCATCTTGACACCGAAAGGAATAAATCTTTCCTCAAACTTTGGACTCGACATAAAACGGAAGTTGCCATTTTTTCTTTTGAGTTACTCCCCCTATGTTATTGCTGCCCATCGATTTACTGTTCGATGTCAAGTTAGAGTTAGAGTTTGGTCCGTGTTCGAATTTCTGTTGAAGTTAGAGATAAATCTTTCTAAAATTGTCCGTTTATACATTTATAATAACATAAACGGTACCAATTTTTCTGCACCAGATGCGCATTTCGACAATCGATGTCTCTTCAGTGATTTGTCACGTGTGAATAATATTATTTTTTTTTTTTGTATTAATATCTTTTAATATATCATCAAAGACATTATAAACTTTTATTTTATTCACTTTAACTAACTAATTTTATTTTAAAATTATATTTTTCATATCGTAAATATAAAAATATCCGCTTTTTCGGTTAAGTATTTAAAATTCTAATACTCATTCGATAACTGGAGTGCTCCGATAAAACGGAGGAATATACCAGAACAGAACAGAACAGATGTTCGAGGCCAAAATATTTAAAAATCCAAAGCTAATTAAAAAGATGACTAAGAGCTATAAACCAAAAAGGACATAAAAGTATAGCCAAAGCCGGAGAAGGATTCAGAGCTTTGCATGAGGGAGATACATTCCTTAATTTTAAATAATTTCCAAAATTTTGTAACAGCAAATTTCAAGAACACAAAATCCGTATTTTACTGGGCTGGTGATACCCTCGGGGACTTTCAGTCCACCAGCAGAGGCATCGACCCAGTGGTAGTAATAACATAAACGGTACCAATTTTTCTGCACCAGATGCGCATTTCGACAATCGATGTCTCTTCAGTCATGCTCGAGGCCAAAATATCTTGATATATTAAAGTGATAATAACTCCCTCAGGCAAAGTTGTCCTTATATTGATTTGGCTATTTGTAGGTCCTTTTTGGTCATAAAGCTCCTCAACTGTTTCGGTTCTTATACATCACTGGCTTTCACATATTCGGCTTTGAGCGTTACTGATGAAGGTAAATACAGAAAAGCGCTAAACAATTTATAAAGCGTTGTTTTCATTTTTTATCTCATGATATACCATTGGACAAATTATTAGCAAATGGTTTTCCTGACATTCAGTATCTTTGTTAAAATCATACCACATCGACATAAAACAACAAATGAAAGTAAAGTCCATAACCAGAAGGATAAAAAAATACTAGAAAGACAATTCAAATAAAGACAAGGCGATATGGTCCTACATCAAATCCAAGTCGAATTCAGACACGGTCAGGTATTGCTGACCTTCACAAAGAAGGACACAATAACAAAGAAAACAGACACTAACTTGGAAAAGGCAGAAATCCTGGCTGAATTATTTAGCAGTGTATTCACCAACGAACTTGCCAAGCAGATGGTGCAGCGACTACACTTCACTGAGCACAAAGAAATTTAACATGGTATGGGGAATCTGACGGTAAACAAAGATACAGTAACTATTTAAAAGCACTATTGAGATTGAAATAAGGACAATCACCTGGATTAGACAGTCTTCATCCCAGATTTATGAAAGAAACAAATACAACCAATCTATAAACAAATCTACAGTACCATGTATGTGGAGGAGTGCATTAATTAGTGCAATCTTCAAGAAAAGAAATAAGTGCCAAGCTGGTAACTATGACTCAACTATTGGCCAGTCAGCTTTACGTCTGTGGCTTGTAAAGTACTTGAAAGCATTGTAAGAGAACCTATCATAGGATTTATGAAGAGGAACGCATTCTTTACTAAACGTCAGTATTGGTTTATATCAGGCCGATATACAGCTCTTTAGCTCCTAGAAGTACTTGGCAAATGGACAGAGGCACTAGACATAGGCGGTACTCGATCGACTGCTTTTATATGGACTACCCCAAAAAAATTGATAAAGTATCACATTGGCTACTACATAATTAACTAGTTTCAAACGGTATTAATGACCAACTTACAAAATTGGATCGACAGTTTTTTTTATCAGGAAGAGTACAACAATTAGGAGTCAATGGTAAAAAGTGTTCTTGGCATAAAGTTACATCAGGATTCCCGCAAGTGTCTGTATTACACACCAGGTATATCACGATCCAAAATAAGTGGAGGGATCCGATCCCGATGAGCAATAACATGAGACCGTAAACGGTGGAGAAGTAAAATCTCGATCCGATTCCCACGGAGCATAATCCTCGGATCCAGATTTTACTTCCCCATGCGTTTGCGATCTCCGCGGGATACTCGTTGTGTATGAGTACCACTCCTATATGTAATCTTTATCAACGACCTACCAGAATCTCTGGAATCACCAACTTTCCACTTTGCGGACGACACCTAAATATTTAACGTTATTGTATATGATATCGAATATACAAAACTGACACTATACGTAAATGGGGAGTTTGAATAAAGTAATACATATGACATACAATTAGCTTCTATGTCTAGATTCAATTATTTGTCTCATAAATAAAAAAAACAACACCATTTTAGAATTGGTGAATTTGTCATGGCTTTAGTTTTACAACAACATTATAACAACAGTGAGATTTTCAAGAGGCCAACGAATAAATCATTCAATGAAAATATAATCATGTTTTTCATTGATTCAGTAAAGGGCAACCAGAACTGAAGAGGTGGTAACTGGGCTTCCAGCACCTAAATAAGATAAATTCCGCCATACACATTGATTGTTCATCTATTTTGGATCACAGCACCATCCATCAAATGTCAAAATGTATCAAAGTACTATTCTTCAAAGTCATGACGATTTAGTAAAGACTGCATACAAAATATGTACTTATAAAAAATATAAGCAGCAAACAAAAATTTTGGGTAGGGTGTGGTGGGTTAATGTCCTTGCACTCCGTCTAAAGTTTGTTGAACAATGAAACAACGTGTCCAAAACAACTAAAATTTTATTATTGTTTAAATTACCATAATTGTTGAGAAGAACTCTTCAATTCATGAATAATGATACATTCAACACTTGTAAGGATACAGCTAGACTATGCAAACTCGATATGGACATCATTCACAGCAAAACATATAGGACAGATAGAAGGAGTGCAGAGAAAGGCAACGAAACAAATCCCAGAACTCAGAATTTTAACATACCCAGAAAAACTAAAGAAATTTAAACTAACAACTTTAAGATACCGTCGACTGAGGTGCGACATGATAGAGGTATAGAAGATCATAAACGGTAAATATGACGAAAATGCAAGCACACTGCTAAAACTATGGAAAGATATGGCACATAGATCGAGCATCAGAGGAAACAATTTAAAACATTATCATCAGAGGGCCAAAACATCGCCAAGGAAGAATTCTTTTGCTCTGAGAGTGGTCAAATATTGGAATATTCTACTAGACAAAATTGTTACAGCTCAAACTTTAAACACCATTATGAACAGATACTGGGAAGATCACTACATTATATATGAAGATTTCAATTCAAACATCACATTGATCGATATTAGAAAGGAAGAGATGTCAACTTCGAACTAACGGAAGAAAAATTAGAGTCCGGTATAGAAAAGCCAGAAGGATCCTGCACTGGAAAACATCACAAGTTATGGCTAGGTAAGTAGTGTTCTGGGTAGCTGGTCTGTAATCCAAAAGTTTCACGGTACATCGAGGCTTAATTCAGGGATCCTTTTTTGTTTTATAACTTCATAAACGATATTAATTTTTGTTGTTGTTAAGAAACAGTTACAGTCGTCCAGATTATTACAGTCTCAAATCTACATGACAAGCTGAGTCTAAAGTGATAGTTAGGTTGGTTCAAATGAATAAAATAAAATAAAATGCAAGCAAATCCTTATAAATTACAGGTCCTTACTGTAAAGAAAAATCTTTGCAAAACAAAAAATACGTCAATCTAAATTCAGCAAATTATCTTAAAATTCCAAGAGACTGTCTACTAACTTGGAATTGATATAAATTACCAACATAAAGACGCACATTTAAGTAACTTTAGTAGAAAGGCGACACAGAGGCTGAATATTTTAAAAAGAATTGGATTAGGATCCAGATTATTAAGATCAAGGTTAGGTAAATGGGCTGTGTCACAGATTTTTTTTTGTGAAATTTTGCATACAACTTTGGCTCGTTGAACTACGTGTATAATCGAATTTCTAAAAATAATGCTTTTACCCCTGAGACATTACTGAATTGATTCTTTGAAAAAAGATGAACATTTGTATAAAAAGCACATAGATTGGCGAAGAAAACACTCTTAGATTTGTTTTAAAACTCAAAAGTTGATATGTTGTTGGTACATACAATGTACAATTTCCATTTGATAGATATAAAATAATCATAAGGCCGCCAATACGCTTGGTATAAAAAGTGTTAAAGGGTACATAGTTCCTGAGGAAGTACAATTCAAATCGAAAGAGTAAATTATATCGGTTTAAAGTTGGCTCATCAAGAAAGAAGTTGGTAAATGCCCATAGAAAGCAACGAAGTAAAGTAAATACACTTGTATTTAGTGGACAACAGGTCCTACACTTTAAAAACAATCGAAGCACATGTAATTGGAGATCTGATGATCTTAAGACAAATTTTAGAACGTTTTTCGCCAATTTTATGCGGTTTTTATTCACATGCGCATTAAAATTATTTTGAAATAATTAATTCAGTAATATTTGCAGAAAATATAAGAGATAAATGCATAATTATTTCGAGTTTTAGTTATAATAGTTTAACGAGCAAAAGTTGTACGCAAAATTTTACCAAAAGCCATGAAATAGCCCATTTACTGTTACAGTACTTTAATAATTGTAAGAAAAAGCTTTAAGATTTTTCTTTGGCTCCTTTATGATTACAAATTTGCTTGATATCAAACACTTGAAATATTTATGCGATACAGTAACATCCTACAGAAATACATCATGTACGAAGCCTTTTCGTTTCACCGCTGCTTCTCTATGAAATAGATTACCAGACCAATTTGGGACTGAAAATAGCTTCACATATTACAGAATATAATTCCTGGATTTGTTCTGACTGTTGTTGCTTTGCTTGGTGGTATTTTAATACCCTTTCAATCATTTTTATGTTTCCTAACTAGCTTACATTGGATTTTTTGGGTCTCATTATGCCAGCTGGTTACAGAATACAGTAGATGCATATCGTAGCTCTAGATCTTGTTTCATGCACACTGACTCCGGAGGTGAAAAAAATACTTCTAAAAAAATCATACAAATCATATTTTGATATGCCTGCCGAACTTGCACTATTTATTAAAATTATTTTGTGCAGCGTACTTTCTGAATTTCTATGTAATAGCCAGATACAGATTCTCTGATTTTTTGTGAAAAGATTAACAGAGCTGTTACTTACATATAATGCTCATTTGACATTTCAGATATTGCAAAAAATGTATATAAAGTTTGCCTTTATAACAGAACTGACCAGATTAAGTCGCAAACTTTTAAATTTCATCTTTTTTTTAGTATCTTAGTGTTTTATATGTACTTTTAATGTTGTGCTGAATTATTTGCATACTGCATCTTTGTTTTAATTATTAAAGTACACGTGTTTACACACACACACAAACACACCCCTCCTCCCCCCCCCCCCACCCCCCCCCCCCCCCCCCCCACCCCCCACCCACCCCCACCCCACCCACACACACACACGATGCAATGATCTGTGCTGTTACAGCTTTTATCTATGTGTCTAATTGACGGAATGAAACCAGTAAAATCTATTGGAAAGTAAGTAAAAACCATTTCAATGTGATTGATATAAGCAATCATACCGTATAATCAGCTAAAAACGAGAAAAGCTAACGGCATAATTGATAACAATACAATTTACGAAAAACAAATATGAAAAACCGATTCATGGCTTGAGACAGGCATATATTGAATCTGGCTAGATTAAACATGTTTGTGAGCGCTCAACCTCCCCTAAATTTGGACAGTGATGTAACAACACAGCATAAGAACAAAAAATCAGTTTGCTTTAAAGTTCCTTTTTTAATTGAGTCTACAAAGATTCAGTGCTCTTCCTTTTGAGCAAACAGGTAGTCAACTAAAGTGCATAGGAAAAAAAGAGAAGGAATTCACCAAAAAGGATAATATAAAGTCATAAGTCGAAAAAAAACCCCGACAATATCTTGACAACAAAAAAACAACTACAAAAAACGTAAAGACAGACAACAGTTTACAAAATACTACAATCGTAACAAGCTAAAGATGGAGCAACACGAACCACAGTAAAACCGGGGGTGTTCTCGGGTGCTCCGGAAGGGTAAGCAGATTTTTTTTTATTTTATAGCAACTGTTCTAAACCATAAGAAATTTTATATATCCTAGGACGATTGAAAATATAACTGAGTTCACATGCTCATACACTACGACTTACATTTTATAAATCACAAGTTATAAAAGAAATACGCATTTATTTGTTATTTATTTCCAACAAACCTGATGCGAAATGTTGTTGAATAAAAAAAATATTCTTCTCATTTGTTAAAACCACTAGATAAAAATTGAAGTGTATATTTCATACTGACAAAACTATTTACTCATCAGTATCATCAAGTTCAAGATTATCTTCACTATTGTCTTGAATATCATCATCATCAGAAGTGTCATCATCATGATAATCATCATAATCATCACTTTCATCACTATCTAATGTCACATTCTGCCCTAAGATTTTTAGAACGAATTTAATTTCCCATTTTTCATGCTGTTTATCTTGAATGTCTTGGTCTTGAGGAAAAATGTTGACTTCAGGTAGGAAGAATCTAGGCAAAAAATATTTTTTGTTGTAGGCTAAAAGTTTCATAAATATTAACACGGTAAGTTCCATTAGTGATGGCAATTTAGAAATGTCATCTGGTGTATTTGGGTTCCAGTGAAGTTCTTGTAATACGTGAAATGTGCAGTTTTTCAACATATAGCTACTTATGTCAGTTACATTGCAGATGTCAACAAAGAGCTTTGCAAGCGCGTAACTATCGCGTACTTTTTGCGGAAAAGTCTCCATAAGGCAAACTTCTGCTGGCGCCGTAGAGACGCGTAAATTGGTTTGTACTGGTCTTATTCGATCAATAGTATCCACTATGAATTCTTTGAGATATTCAGAGGTGAACGATTGCTCGTCGGAAGTTGTGTCAAGTAAAAGCAGACAGCCAGCATCATGGATATTCTGAGTCATCATTGGTAACGAATTAGGATCGATTGGCCACCAAGCTGTTTTTCTGACGGCAGGAACCATGTCTATCTTAATCCTTAGTTGTTTATGTTTACAACCAAACCATAGAAGACGTACCATAAAGACTGTCGTTTTCATATCTTTTTGCAAGAATGGCATTTCGAAAACGTAACACAGATTACGGATTTCATCATTCTTCCATAAACTCGGATCGTGTAAGGCTCGATTCAAATATTTGTGGAGGTACATGAATATAGGCGGTGAAATGAAAAGTCCATTTTCATCAAAAAATTCCAATACGTCTTGATGGCCTTCAATAGGTTTAAGCTTCAATACATTACTGTTGAATTTTTCTTTGGAACTATTTCTTTCTTTATGACGATTTCTCTCTTTGGGACTATTTCTTTCTTTAGGACGATTTCTCTCTTTGGGACTATTTCTTTCTTTGATGTCACAAAATTCAGCAATTCTATCTAAACAAAGGACAAAATCAAATTCATCTGGAGCATTTACTTTTGTTTTTTCTTTTGAACTACCGGACTGAAAAACTGTCATTTCAAATCTTGAGTCGTATTTTGAGACTTGTTTGCATAGTAACTCTACAAAAAAGCATATAGTGGAATTGATTTTTTCCTCTTCTTCTCCTTTATTTCTATATTTGTGATCAAGAAGTTCTTCAACAAATTGGTCCATTTTCATTTCTAATTTTTTTGATGTTTGCAATGACTTAAAATTTTCAAAAAACTGTTGGTTTCTGTCGTAAAGCTCTTCCGTTGTTGAGCATTTAAGTAGAGCTTCTTCTGAACTTATTCTCAAGTGACTTCTTGCTGTTTCGATAGGAGATTCTCCTAGTTTGTCTCTGATGTCATTTCTTGCTCCATTTTGAATCAACAAATTGACAAAAGCGCCAGAATCGTGGTAGGCAGCATAATGCAATGCAGACGACCCACTGTTGTCTACTGCGTTTAGAACGGTCGATGCTGTAGTTATATCATTCAGAAATGGGAGACAATCAGAATCGTAAAATGCACTTATATACATTAACGGAAAACAGCCCCATTTATCAGATGCGTTAAATTCAATGTCTGTTGTTTTCATTACATTTACAATTGATTTGATTCTTTCAAACGTTAAATCTTTGCTATCAACTCTCACTAAATGGGCTGTCGACTGCTCATATATGTTCTTAGCATTAGCGTCGGCTCCGGTTTCAATGAGCATTTTCAGCAACTTAACAGGTGCTTTGCGCAAGCAGGCTATAGCATAATGAATTGGATAGTTTCCTAGATTGTCTGCTATCGTTGAGCATCCTCCAGCATCAGACATTTTCCGCAAAACCTTGATGGCATTCACGTTTCGATATCTATCGAAATGGTTTATTATCAGAAGAAAAGGGGTTGTACCATTTAAATTTCTTTGTTTCAACAACGTTATTAAATTCTTATGAGCACAGCAAGATACTTTTCCTCTAACAATGTCGTCAAGTAGTGCAAATCTGTCTTTAAATTCATCGGAGACAGGGCTTGTTTTGTTTATACTTTGTACAAAAGAATGAAGGAAATTTTCACCATCTTTGTTTATCATGTCTACGTCCAACCCAGCGCACGACTCGAGGATAAACCGTAGGACACATGGTGGGATAGTATTTCTGCTTGCTAAGTGAAGTATGGAATATCCATGCTTAGTTTGTTGATTAATATCAATTCCTAAACTTAGTAGGACTTGAATGGTTCTTTGCCAATCGTCTATAGCAACAATGTTGTAAATTAAACTGTGTAAAACATTGTACCCGTTTAAATCTTGCTTTGTGACATCAACTCTCGGCACCTGCAGGAGCAGTTCTAGCACATATGTATTTGTGTTTATTGCAGCATAATGAAGAGGAGTTTGGTTCCATCTATTACCGGTATTAACATCATCCCACTCCTGAGAGGCGAACCAGCACTGAAGTAAATCTGGTCGAGTATCTTTAATAGATTTATGTAGTATAGTTTCTTCACTGAAACAGCTGTCGTCACGGTTATATATCTCTTCATCTGACATCGTACAGTTGTATCATCAAGTTATACTCTAATAATTTACATTTATCTGAAGTATACATAAAGAATTCATTAACAGAGTAATAATGTCATTATATCAACAATATGACAAACGTTAATCTAATGTAGTCCAATTTTATTTATGCAAGGAATTTTTTTGTGGAATGTTGTTTGAATTTGGTTGTTGATTTCCAGTCATATTTCACTTCAAAGTTAATATTAATATGTAATATGTTTTGTGTTTGGAAGTTTTCCTAGGTTTTATATGTTCTAAAAGTGTGATTTTTTATATTAGGTAACTGATGCAAAGAACATTGAAGAATTTCCGCTGTTTATTATTCTATAACAACTCACACTGAACAAATGTAAAGGAGGATAAGAAATATTTTTCTATTTTTTCTCTTTATATGCGTAGAAAAGCAAAGTTATTTATCTTTCCCTTTTTTTAGCTAACTTAGCCATAAAGTCATGTTCACCTGTTCGAACGTCGGTCCATCGTTAGATAATTAACATTTACTTCATCGCCTCTGAAACAACCAATCAAATGTGAACCAAACGTGGCAGAAATAGTATGCAATGTTCTCTATTTTCTGATTTCGGTACGACTGGAAATTAAATATGATCACAAATCTAAAGAGGCAATCTTTGTTTTGAATTGGCCAATTATAAAATATTTTCTCCTCTGAAAATTTAAGGCGACATATTTTGATGACTGGAAAACATCTTGTGATTTATAAGTTTATATTCGGCGTCCGTACAATTTTCATATTTCCGACTTCTTCTCTGAATTCACTTCACAGGCACTTGTCTCTGAGATTGCGCCCACTTATTTACCTTAATATAACACAAGGTACTTAACTCACATTTTTGAAAAATGAAAATCGGTCGTGAACTTTCGTTATATTTCGATTCCTCGTTTGTGTACCCCACTAAAACTTGTTATCCCGTAATTCTACATTGATTTATCGACACAATGGTGTATGACACACCTACCTTTGTTGTAGAAATCATTCGCAGCAAGTATATCAACCGTAATTATTTCGTCTTCTCACAGCCCTTTGGAAATATTAATATCGCAGTAAATCGTTAATTATAATTGTCCCTTTGGTATCTTTCCCCTCTCTTATACATATCTCGCTTTCCGTTTGGTCAAATCTAATTGCTAAAAATAAATGTTTTTTGGAGTTATCTCAATTTTATATGTAGTCTAGAGAGATTCTGAATGACATTGATTGACCGTGAAAATTTGAGTCTAAAAAAAGAACTCGTAACTCATTAGACATACATCAAATCACAGTTATTAGATTTTTTTTTCACAGAATCTTTGACAAATTTACTCTCTGGATGATAAGTTCTATTCAGAGAAAAACTAACAGGTTTTTGGTAAATACTTTATATAATTAATCATTCACTGCGAGAATAATATTTCTAAAGGGCTGTGAGAAGACGAAATAATTACGGTTGACATACTTGGAAGGCCTATTACGAATGATATCGATAATAAAAATAGGTGTGTTATACACCATAGTGTAGATAATTTAATGTTGATTTACGGGATAACAAGTTTCAGTGGGATAGATAACCGCAAAAACCGAAATATAACGGAAGTTTGCGGCTGGGTGACATTCTTCAAAAATGCGAGTTAAGTACCTTGTGTTATATTAAGGTATATGGGAAAAATTGTCAGAAACAAGTGCCTGTGATTCATTTGTCTTATTTTAAGTATACTGAGCAGGAATGTATGGTAAAAAATTGAAAATATAAACGGGGAATGCGCCAAAGAGACAACAACCCGACCAAAGAGCAGAAAACAGCCAAAAGCCACCAATGGATCTCCAACAAAGCGAGAAAATCCTTCACCCGGAGGCGGGCTTCAGCTGGCCCCTAAACAATAATGTATACTAGTTCAGAGAAAATGGACGTCACACTAAACTCCGAAACATATAAATGAACCAAAATTAAAAAAAAACAAAACATACAAGACTAACAAAGGCCAGAGGTCCCAGTCTTGGGACAGGCGCAAAAATGCGGCGGGGTTAAACATGTTTTGTGAGATCTCAACTATCCACTATACCTCTAGCCAATGTGGAATAAACAAACACACAGCTATACGCACAGTAAAATTCAGTTTAAAAGAAGTCCGAGTCCGATGTTAGGTAACAGAAGAAACTCAGCAAAATGACAATAATCAACATAATTTAACAAAGGACTACTAGCAGTTACTGACATGCCACCTCTAGACCTTAATTTAACTGATTGAAAGAATACGTCTTCATCATATGAAAATCAAGCACAACCATACCATCATAGAATATACGATATAAAAACATAACCCGCATCATGCAAACAACTGGTAGTTTCTTTACAAAAGAGTATTAAGAAAAATATCGAATTTCAAGGTAATTTAAAAAAGGGGAAGTCAATCATTTGTCCATAAAACCTGACAAAATCAAATGTTAGACTATATAAACCAATGGGAACAAATAGTAAACAATGTCATATTCTTGACTTGGTACAGGAATTTCCCAAAGAAAATGGTTGGTAAGACCTGGTTTTATATTTAGCTGCACCTCCCACTTCTGTGACAGTTGTTTATATCTCCATTATAATGAAAAAATTAGTCGGGCAACTGACTAAAAATTTCAGACAAACATACAAATAAATCTAACAAAGACGGCAACAAAAAAGTTAATGTAGTTGATAATAATTTTGACATCTTATTCTTATTTAATTTTGAACGAATGAAAAACATGGCCGCTAGGGCAATCTTTGTTTCTGATGACATTGTGCCAATGTTAAACGTAGCGATTTAATTTGGTTGTTTTTTTCTGCAGTAAAACTTTGAAGTAGATTTTTCAGAACGAATAAACATATTTACGACCTTCAATATAAAAATAAGCAGATGAGGTATGATTGCCAATGAGACAACTATCCGACAGAGTTCAAATAAAGTGGATGTAAGCAATTATAGGCAACCGTACGAAAAGTGTGTAACTGATAAAAATTGTAAAATCTACTCATACAAATTTTCTCTTTTGTTCAGAATATTTTGTAGAAAATATTTCTTTAAACAGAAAACAGTTTAACAACACATTTCTTTCAGTTTACTAAGGATTATTACATAATGTTAAAATTTAAGAGCCATCCTATCCTATACATGCTATAGCATTGCAAAAAAGAACAATGCACCATTATCTATACCTATAAATTCGTTTGTCGATGATATTATTCACATCTTGGAAAAGCTATTCATTCAGTATATCTGATAGCAATTCTATTATTATTAGTTCTATTGTAGTATCAAATTGTACAAATTTCATCCGAAATTATCTAACAATAAACTGAATCCTATCACCTTTTTATGGTAGGCTAAGTAGGCTACTAGTTACAGTTACATGTATATTTACAAAACTTTGATTTTTTTTTTTAATACGAAGGATTTTCTCCCACAGGAATAGATTTGTAGGTCCTCAGTGCTTTTTAACTCCGTGCTTTATTTGATCCTTTTTGACTTTTTTTATTCGAGCGTCACTGATGAGTCTGTTGTACACGAATCACACGTCTGGCATACACAATTTTACCTCTGGTATCTATGATGAGTGTATATACGTGAAGTACACGTAAAAGTCTACTTAAATGTTAGAACATGTATTCCTTGTCTGTTATATTATACATGAATCGTTACTGTTTTGTGCTTGGGTTGCATCAACCATTTTAGAGTAAAGTGTTTTGTCTGTCACATTTTATTGCAAGTTTTATATTAATCTTTATTGGTCCACTTATTAAGTATTAAAGGGGGGCATTGAGATCTAAAACACACTAATGTGTGTGCCCCAAAGTCTGGAATCTTACCAGCGGTTGTCGTATGCCTTATCGCTTTATTTGTTATTTAAGTGTTGTAATGATGTAACTCCAATTTTTCGAAATGTTTGGAAATGGATTTGAAATTTAAAAGCGCAATAAAATAGATAATTGAGGAAGATATAGAAATTGAAATCGAATATATGGACTTGAAAAGCAACTGTTTGCTCACTTGTATTTTGAATAAACAAACACCTTAAATAGATAATAATCGCGTGTTACGGAGAGAGAGAGGGAGGGCGGGGGGGGGGGGGGGGGGGGGAGAGAGGGGGGGGCGGGGGGGGGGGAGAGAGGAGAACACATTACAAGAAAAAACATCCCTTTAGAAGATATTTTCTTATATTTTTTTTAAGACAACCATGTATTTTGGAATTTAGTAGTATCCCAATTCTGTAATGCCTTATTTGCTGAGAATTAATCAAAGATTAAGTTCAAATCATGCAATCAATTTGAGGATAGTATAAGAAAGATAATTTTGATAATTGTTTTAGAGCAAAAATATATGAAAAATGGTAGAGATACAACAATATAAACAGTTTTTTATCTGAACTTTCAGTGTCCAACTAGATGAATAAGCTACATTATAATTCAATGTGAAGTTTGGGGATAGAACAGCATAGTTCTGATAAACATTCTTAGAATGTAGAAATATCATATTATAGTTGTATAGGGAGATAGACAATTGCACCTCGATCTGAAATAAAAATGTCCATTTTGTCTTTTCTGCCATTTGTGGAAGATCATTCAAGATTCACACGACGATTTGCTTTTGAATGTATATCTTTGATAGTTTTGTTTAATTTATGCACTACTTCTTTAGACTTGAGGCGGTTTAGATCCTGACATACCGTATAGGTATCTTTCATTATAGCAGACTGTTCTAGATATCGTTTAGTTATTTTCGTCGTTGGGTTGCTGTCTCATTGACGTTTACCAAAATTCCGTTAAAATGCATATTCAATAAAAATAGCAAACTTCAAAATTAAGTCTAATTGCAATATTTTAAATTAATAGAGAAATATGTGTTGAGAATTGTTGAAATCATTAGATTTTAATCAATACATATCAATACTGAAATTGCTCTATAATCAAACATACATACCCTTTCCTTCTTTTTCCTAGTAAATTGGACGTGTCAAAACGCAATCCATTAATCCACATAATAACACACAGCCAATCCTTTCTCTTACTTAAATTTCTTCCTTGTACGCAAAGACTTTTTAAAGTTTAATTATAGCAATGGAGGCTACAAAGGGTTTTTATGCATTAACTGTTATGCTATGTAAGGTAATATGTGTAGGTGGGTGTTTTTTTTTTATCAGCTGTGAATGAAAAATACCAAGTTTAAATCTAAGATAAGGAGGTCGAAGGGGATGTCCCCCCAATATAACATTCACAAAATAGGATAAATAGTACATGACTGGAAAACAGTATAATATTATGGTCAAGAAAGGAGTTGCAGGACCACCAAATGGCATCAGAATTCGACGCAACCAGCCAAGATACTAATGCTGTAAATGTAAGTTTCGGGTATGGTTTTGGACAAATGAATCAGTGTGAGGAGACTTTATAAAAATGTTTCATAACCATGATAATGAAAATTTAGACAGATATCATTTTAAAAAAATCTAATGAGTTTAGAATAGGTTTGAATTACGTGAACTCAAAGAGGCTATGGGATAACATTTCAGGAAATAAGGTGCTAACAGTTTTAGGCTTGTTACCATACAATATCTAAATAGATACACCGTGGATACAAAATTTCTACACCACATAAAGAGAAATAAAAAAAAAAGTCAGCTAAAACAAACAAAAAACCAAACAAAAACCAAGCAAACGTTTGATACCAGTTTATGATCCTTCACAAAAGGTGTAATAAATTATGCTGACTTCTCTTATTTAACGCTCGTCATCTTCACTATCATGTGTTCAATAATATTGATCTCTCCTTGCCTTTTCTGTCATATGGACAGAACGAGATAGATATGTATATAAAATATTCTCTGACCGAACCGAGTCATATGATTATTTCAGTTAACTTAAAAATAGACAAGATTTGTGGAGCAGAAATTAAGAAGTCTGTATCGGAATATGTATAATCGTTAAATGCACCTACGCAATAGAAGAATGTACACTAAGAGTGTCGAATGATAAAAAAAAAAAGATTTTATGTTATAATTATTCACAGTTATTTCTTTTTTATTCGAATATCAATGTCATGAATTTTTGTATGACGCCATGATTTTTATCAGTGGCGGATTCACTGTTTTTTTCTTCAAAAAGGGGAATGGAAGGGATTTTAGAAATGTGCGCAAAATAGTTTCCATTTGAATTTGATTATTCCCATAAGAACAAATTCTAGATCTAACAAGTTAAGAAAGATACATCTAATAAGGCAATCTAGATTTTCAAAGTTTGTTTCCACATTGTGCATGGAACAAATGCATGTATATAACATGTATAATGATATGTTGGTTGCACGAATTTAAATTAGTTTGCGAGGAAGACCTATATCGTGCTATATAGTAATCAAATGACAATTTTGTCCAATTGTTGTGCTTGTTAAATTAGTCCAATGAAAGAGTATTTCTTGAGGCTAATATTATCCATCAAAACTCATCTAGACCTACAACTAATTCAAACCTACAAACAAGAACTGCTAAAAACTTACCACAGGCTGTGTCTTTGGATTCCAGCCAAAGAGGGCAGGCAAATAGGCGGCACCAACAAACGTTTCAGCATCCTGTACAAGTCTCTGCAGCCGATACATTAGGAAAACCATCCAAACCCCAAAATGAGAACCTCCCAGCTAGCAATTCTTCCCTATCAGTTAACTCAGGATCAATCAACCATCAAGCTCCTGAAACAATCCATAATGTACATGCTGACATTAATCGCGATCTCCACCCGAGTCATTAAAAGAGGGACGAAAGATACCAGAGGGACAGTCAAACTCATAGATCGAAAACAAACTGAAAACGCCATGGCCAAAAATAAAAAGACAAACAGACAAATAATAGAACAGATGACACAAAAAAACTGGGGGTGATCTCAGGTGCTCCAGAAGGGTAAGCAGATCCTGCTCCACATGTGGCACCCGTCGTGTTGCTTATGTTATTACAAATCCGGTAAATAGTCTAATTCGGTAAGTCACATTCGTGAAAAGGGAAGGGTATTGTAGTTACGACATAAGGAACATATCCGATATCATCTGTGAAACGGTTATTCCATAACGGTCAACCAACTCGTGATGGCTTCCGTAAAATTTACGAAGGGATGATTTCAACTTCACCATTTGGAATGTGTCACGACTGCAGAAATTCATGCTATACCAACAGAGTATACTCAAAGCTCCCCGGAGTCTGATCAACAAACAACTTTTCGAACAGCTACCATAGACAATAAACAAACTCCAAATAGAACAGGGGACAGCAAATCGAACTCTCCCATTCGCGACAACTGCCTCCAGGAAAAACCTCCAGATCAAAAGAACAAAACAGAAATACTGTAACTACTTGTAGAACCGAGAACACCAGATTAACAACATGTAATATGGAAGGGATAAAATCCAATACCTCCTTCTTCACTCGCTTCTCGACAATTCTCATAGCATATATCTTCAAGAACACTTCCTCTGGGAATGTCAGTCAAACATCCTACATAACCTATTGCATGAATGGGAAAACCACACCAGATGTCAGGACTCCAACAAACCACTAGATGGATTCAAACTTCCTAAAGGGCAGGCAGGTGTATCTATTCTCTGGCCCAAATTGTGGAACAATCAAATACAAAAACTTCCAGATGGAAATGATAGAATAGTCTCTATATTGATAACCTCTAACTGGAATATCTGTTTAATTAACGGTTATATGCCAACTATGGAAACTGACTCACAGTATGAATACGGAGACTGTCTTGATATAATTCATGCAATTATAGAGAAATATCAGTCAACGCATCAAATAATTGTATCTGGAGATCTAAACGGAATTCTTTCTAACTGTAGGAATAACAAACATGATCGGCTACTGCAACATTTTGCTCAAGAAATGAATTTATCAACAGTTGGAAACTATGGTGAACAGATCACTTTCTTCCACCATTCAGGGCAATCTTCCTGTCAAATTGACTATATATTGACCTCAAAAAGTGATATCTATAGTAATCATGAAATCTGGGAAAATACACCTTCGAACGTCACAGCGCATGTACCTGTCTCGATGCTTACAAATATTGCTATTCCACTGCTTGAAAAACATTTCAATCAAAATAAAAAAAACTGTCTATAAACTGAAATGAAATAAGATAGATAAACAACTGTACCGTGAAACTATTTCTGAAAACTAAATGCCATAAAGGAAGACAACTCAACTTCAGATAACATCAAAATTCTTACAGACATCCTACACAAAGCGTCGCATGCGGCAGTCCCGTCAAACATGACCAGGCTAAAAGGCCCGAAATGGAAAGCCTCTCCAAAAGTCAGGAAACATCTTAAAGCCTGTAAACAACTATACTCTAAATGGAAAGCTCTGGGCAAACCAGAAAATCATCAAAGCAAACAAGATCTTAAAATTAAAAAAAAAGAAACTCCGTAGTCAAACAGAAACAAGAATATGCTACTGACAGGTGAAAACTATACCAGCAAATTATAGACAATCCTTCAACCGAACTATTCTACAAACTCACTTTAGAAATAAAACCAAATACGTATGGAAATATCTGGCATAGAGATCGATAATGAATTTGACTTCTCATCCCGAAATCAAAGCCGCGCTTTCGCTAACTACTATGAAGATCTCAGTATCCTTAAAGAGAGCTCATATGACAACTCTTACCTGGAACTCTGCTAAGTTAGACAGAAAATATTTGAGGAAACATTCAGCCAGAAAATGCCATCAATCAACCCATACATAGAAAAGGAAGTAAAACAAGCAATTGAGAATTTCAACACAGGAAAATCATTAGATGAACACGGAATCTGTGCTGAACACCTAAAATATGCATAACCTACCGTTGTCCCATCTCTGACTAAAATTTTAAATAAAATCTTGCAGGAAAGAAAAGTTCAAGTCAATTTTAAATCATGAATCTTAACGCCTGTCTTAAAGAAATAAAAAATCCATCTCTAGTTTATAGTTACCGTGGCATTAAGGTGACCCCAGTACTGTTAAAATTACATGAATTTTGCATTCTTGGCAAACTCTTCATTAACTCTGGTACCGACTTACCATTCGGATTCACTAAAGGTTTATGGCCACGCTTCGCAAGTCTCATAATCTTAGAATGTAAATGTGAGATAAGTAAATCATTATCCTTATATCTTGCTACCGTCGATGTTCAATCAGCCTTTGATGTCGTTCAGCATACCATTCTTCTTGACAAACTATTAGATCGTGGAACTCACCAAGATATCTAGTTACTAATCAAAGATTTTTACAGTGGACTCACCCCCAAAGTTGAATGGCAGGGAGAAATCAGTGAAAGCTTTAATATCCTCCAGGGAGTTAGAAAAGGTGGTATTCTATCAACCCACCTATACAAAATATTTGTAGAGGATCTCCTCAAGGAAACTCATTAGGATTTATATTAGGTACAATAAACGGTGGAGCACCAACCTGTGTTGATGATGTAGCATTACTAACACTACAAACCGCTAAAGTCTGAAATGGCCTATATCTGTACTCGACTGTACTGATTTTTACTCGACCAGTCTGAATTGGTCTGAATTTTACTCGACATTACTCGACCCCAGTCTTAACCATACTCGACCGTACTGATTTGTAATTGACCCTTATCTTTGCCATTGAAAATAGTCTGAACTATTACTCGACCAGTCTGAAACAGTCTTAACCCATTCTCAATCTGTAGTCGACAAATTTTTTCAGTCTAAACCATACTCGACTAAAGGTCTGAACAATACTCGACCAGTCTGAACCATACTTGACCAAAAAACCTATATTTTTTTTTAATTTGAGCTGTTAAAATTAATTTCTTTTTTTCTGACATGAAAACAGCCACAATAAAATAAAGATATATATAAAAATATATTTTTACATTCTTGCATGATTCTCAGATTTATCAAATAGAGATAGTTAAATTAAATTATCCTATATAATAATTCAATTATATTAATTTTAAAGTTTTAGAGTTTTGTTAAAAAAAAGGTTTTCTTTTAACTAAAAACCACACCTTTAC